GTTGGTGATGAACAGGGAGGCCTGGCATGCTGCAGTCCATGGGGTCACAAAGAGTCAACACAACTGAGTGACTGAACTGAACTGAGCCTTTTATGCGGATAAAGTGAATTCATGGTCAGTGAATTTGACAAAGTAAATTTCATGGTCAATGACCACGATAAAGTTATATTTAAAAAGGACATCAAATATGGAACATTCTTCAATATGTTCATGATCTTTGATGTTTAATTTAGTAATTCCACTCTATAAATTTATCCTAAGGACAGATAGACATGTTGAAAGGCTGGTGTGCACACATACTCACTTCTGCCTTCATTTTACAGTAAAGGTTGGATGTAATCAAAATAATCTGCCAGAGGGGACTGGCTATACCACAGGGTGACCTTTTGTGCTGCTAGTTACAGTCCTGTATTCCTGAAAATAGCCTCATGATGCAGGAAAGTGCTCATCATCTGTTCCATATAAAAAGGAGGTGATTTGTTCATGCATGGAGCATGACCCCAGTTTAATTTCTAAGTGTGTGCATGTCTGCGCATGGATGCATGTCTCCAGGTCTTGAGTCTGGACTGTCATCTGGGGAAGGACATGTTGTGGAGACACCTGCCTCTGGGGCTGGATGCTTGCCTGGTGCCTCCTGGAGGAACGGTCAGGACAGCAAGGCCTGGGGAAGGTCCTCCCTGAGGACCTGACTCTGCGCCCTTTGTGGTCCTACGGCATTCGGCCTCAGTGGGCCTGAAACCCTGGAAGCAGGGGCAGCTGTGCAGGCTCTGACGGCAGGAAACCAACAGGGATGCTGGTGTCCACCCCTCTCCAGGGATCAAGACCAGAGGGAGGGGTGGCGTCTGCAGGACAAGCCTTAGGGGCGGCATGGGGACACATGCACAGATTTGTCTCCAGGTAGTAGAATTGTGGATTTTTGTTTTCCTCATCTTTTTCATTATTTTTCAAAATATAGACACTTTAATAATCAAAAAAAAAAATATAGCCATTTCAGGTCACATACTGCTTAGAAGTTGGAGCAGAGCAGTTGCTCTGGACCTCATAGCTAGGCAGGTGTGCCGTCCTGGCTTGTGGCACGAGGCTGCAGTGTGGAGGCAGGTGGGTGGTCAGCAAAGGGCCCTTGCAGTCACTGTGGCTGTGTGGGCAGAGGCAGAAATGGGCTCTGGCCTTGCAGCCTGTGGAGCAGCATAGTTAGTGTGTGTGTGTTGAGGTCAGTGGTGGTGACAGGAAGGGGATGGGAACATTGTGTCGCTGTCCAGAAGCTGCATACCAAAGTGTCTTGCCTCCTTAGGCTATGGGGGACTGGTGAAGGAGGGATCCTCAGTTAAGCAGGGCCGGCCCAGCCTGAGTCTGCTATGTACCCCTCGCTGCCTACCCCCTGGTCACTGGGAGGATCAGGGATCCAGGATCTGGAACAAGCTCGAGGATCAGGTTGACCTGACTTTGAACACACTGCCACTCAGTGCTGGTGGTTGTGTCTCTTCCAGCCACCCGTGGGACACGGTCATCAAGGCGGCCATGAGGAAGTACCCGAATCCCATGAACCCCTGTGTTGTGGGTGTCGATGTGCTGGAGCGCAGTGTGGATGGCCGGGGCCGGCTTCACAGCCACCGCCTCCTTAGCACCGAGTGGGGGCTGCCCAGCCTCGTGAGAGTGGTGAGCACCTTGGGAGCCCAGCTACACCAACACAGCCTGTCTACACCTGGGTGGCACCCATATGTAGGGAGTGTCAACCTTCCCATTTGGGCTTTCTGGGAAGCCTGAGAGATAGTTTGTTCTCTGTGAATTAATTGTTCACTTGAGTGTTCAGCATGTCCCCTGACACACCTATGGCAGTGACACCCCCCACAGGAAACCCAAACCCCCACAGCCCCTGCTTCCCACCTCTGAAGGCCCCATTGCAGCTCCATCACCCTGCCAGGTGTGGCCTGAGCCCCAGAGCTGGCTTTGCACAGTGGTGGTTGGGGTGGGCAGGCGGTGCAGGGGGCAAGGTTGGTCCTCAGCTGACTTACCAGCCAGACCCTGACTTCAGTGCCCCAGGTCCTGCCCCACTTTCTCCTCCATCTCAGTGCCAGTCCCTCCATCCCTAATTCATGTGTCTGTCCTACCTGCTGGACAACAGCTGCTGGAGGAGCTGGAGGTGTTGTTGCAGCCTGATTGAAGAAATTAGTAGCTGATCTGAAGTGACATGCAGTGTTTGAGGGCATGACAACGTCATCATGCTGGTTTCACTTTCTCTTTCAGATTTTGGGGACCAGTAGGACTTTGACATACATCAGAGAACATTCTATCGTGGATCCAGTGGAAAAGAAAATGGAGCTCTGCTCCACCAATGTAAGCAATAGCCACAATGGTGCATAATGTCTTCATTTAATTGTGTTTCCAGCCCACCTTTGGTCTGTGATCTTTTAATAGAAAGGCTGAGTTTGCTTTAGCAGTATCTTGTCTTTTTATTCCAGTGTAAAAACATATTGAAGAACACACATAATGATGTGAACACACCTTTGTAACCCGGGGACAGACTCCTGCCTCCCTGTTGCCCCCAGCCCCCTCTCAGCTGCTGCCTTGCCCACAGCAGCACATGTGTCTCTTAGCAGCCACTGAAACAGCCACTTCCTCCCACCTTCCTCTCTCCTGTCTCACAATCAGGAACCATTGATATTGGCCTGATGCAAATTTAGAGAGCATATTGGGGGAATTGGGTGGGCTGGAGCATGGTTATGCCATCCCCTTACCCTGTGGGTGGGGTCACTGCAGGTGCAAGCTCCCAGTTGACCCTTTGGACCTTAGTCAGTGGCTCCTTCCCTCAGGCCAGGCAGCCCTTCCACAGAGGCAGAGTGAGCTGGCTGGGTGTTTGCACATTGGCCAGTTCCTGACAGTTTATATATTGTTCTCTCTCAGAAAATTCCACTTCCTCTTTGCGGAAAGTCGAGTTGTCAGTAGAGGGGGCTAGTTCTGGCTCAGGAGGAAGGCGGGGAGGAGGGTTGAAGGGATGGCTTTGGGGAGGACAGGTGATCACCAAGTTGCTGTGTGGCTGTGAGTGTTAGTGATCAGCCTTTGAGTCTCATGCTCCTCATTTAAAAAAGAAAGAACAGACCTCACAGTGTGGTTGAGGATCAAGGAAAGAAAATAAGGTTTATTAAACAGCGTCTTGCATAAAAACATTGCATATACAGTGGTGACTGCTCATGAGCCAGGCTCAGGTTTGTGTGGGGTGTGGAGAGAGGGTGGTATCACCAGAACAGCGGTCAGGATGTGTGGGCCTCGGCGTTCCTTCTGCTCTGGCTCCAGTAAGTGCAGGTGTGGAGTTGTGAGACTGTGGGCAGTTTGGGAAGAAATGCAAGAGAAGTAGAACCTACAGCCATTGTATACTTTTTTAAGATCACACTCACAAACTTGGTGTCGGTGAGTGAGAGGCTGGTGTACACATCCCACCCGGAGGACCCAGGAAAGTAAGTGGACTGAACTCCTGGGCGGGGCGGGGTAGGGTAGGAGCTCCCCCTCCAGAATGCTCAGCCTCTCATCTCCAGCGCACTCTCCTGCAGGACCGTGCTCACTCAGGAAGCTGTCATCACCGTGAAGGGAGTCAGCCTGGGCAGCTATCTGGAGAGTTTAATGGCCAACACGATATCGTCCAATGCAAAGAAGGTACCACCTCTCACTGTTGGGGGGGGGGTGGCCAAAGGAGCGGGCATCCTACTGAACCTATGCAATGGGGAGGGCCCCAGGCCTGCGGGAAGCAGAGGCTAGCGAGGCAAGCCACCACTTCCAGCAGCAGCTGAGCTACCTGGGCAAGTGTGGGCGTAGGCATGCAGGACATTCACGATTTTTAGCAGTTTTGTATTTAACTGGGATTTTGAGTACCTCTGGCAGGATTTGGGAGTGAGCCTTGTGGAGGGACCCTGGGAAGGATGAGGTGCCAGGGCCTAACTCTTTGCCAGGGCATACAGTCCCCTCTCTGCCATCCCCCACTCTCCCTTCCCCCTTGGTTTCTGTCTGCGACCAATGGCACGGCACCTCAGCCTTCCCTTCCTAGTGCACTCAGGTCAGGGCTTGGCTGAGAGCTGTTTATGCTTGCATTTAGGCACATTAGTCCAGTCACAATACAGGACCAGTCTGTCGTGTTTCTAGAAAAATCCAGATTTGAGGAAGGTTGAGAGTAGCTTAGCTCAGGATAGTGTCCCCCGCTTCCAACCCAGAGCAGCACTTATCACATCCACACTGTGAGCCCAGAGGATAGACACACAACTCACTTTGTATGTCCACGGTCTGGCTTAGGGCAGGCCTGAGTGTTTGTGGAGAAGAATATTCTATGAGGAAGGCAACTCTCAGCAAGGACAGAGTCCCTTAGCCCTTTATGAGAAAAGTCAGGGGAGACTCGGTGAGGTTAAATGCAGGCCTCTCATTTCCTGTGTTTAGGGGCTGCTGTGCTGGAGGCCTGTGGAGAATCACGGCTTCTTCAGCTGTCATTACCATCCCACAGCACCCCAGGCCAGGTCAGGGGTGCCCCGGGGCAGCTAGCTACCTGCTGATGGTGGGGGAGGTGGAGGTGGAGAGGTGGGTTACCCCACACCCGAGATTCAGGAGCGGAGGTTAGGGACCACTCATGGAGGGGTCTGAGAGGCCTCAGGAGGTGATGGCAGGGATGGGGTGGGGCTCTGTGGAGCTCTGGCTGGGGCTTGAATTATGTGCGCTGCCTGCCTTGTTTCTGGGCCTGGTGTCTCCTTTGCGTTCACCTGACCCGCGTAGCTCCCTGTCTGCTCTTCAGTGAGACAGTAGGACGACCTCTGACCGCGCACTGGCTTCTCTCTGTGTTGCTCTAGGGCTGGGCCGCTATTGAGTGGATAATTGAAAATGCGGAACGTGCACTGAGCTAACGAGGCCTGCAGCGTCCCCTGTGCTTAGCGGCGGTAACTACAGGATTCCTGAACCGGGAGGATGTGGCGCCCACTGGGCTCCCAGCGGCGTGTGCGGCCTGCGTGCTGGGAGGGGTCTGCGGGATGCACCTCTGTGCGGGGCCCCGCCCTGTAGAGAAAGACCGAACTGGTTTCATCCTCGTCCTGATGCACCAGCTTGTTTTGTGGCGAGATTTGTGTTCAGGTTTATCATCTCGTCTCCAAGGGCAGTTCGGCTTTTCCTGCAAGCGGTTCTCAGCACGCAGTCATGTGTTCTGGGACTGCTGTATCCTTAGCAGGAGGGTCTCACCAGCAGGTCCAGTGTGGAGGGCTGATCTGAAGGGGATTTTATTGGGAATAAGACTGGAGTGCCTGCCCATGATCTTGTGCGGATGCCCTGGGCCCAGGTGTCAGCACTGTGACCAGTAGGCCACCCTTCCTGTTGCTGCCAGCCGTGTGCCATCACTGGTCCTTTGTTTTTAGTGCTTGAACTTTTAGTGCTCGAAGTCATTTCCCAGCATCTCTTTGAGCTTCTCAAATACTCTTTGTTTTCTTCTCCTGAGCCTTTGGGGTGTCAGGGCAGATTTGACGCTGGTGTGGTCAGCAGTCATCTCTGCTTCATAAGGTCAGGGTTCACTGCTCCCTCTGCTGAGAGGATCCTTACTCTCCTGCCCTGGAACTCCTCCTACTGTTGGCTTTTCAAGCTCTGGCCCCACTTCCCACCCTCAGTTGGTCTGTCTGCAGCACATATGCACACTTGATGTTTCAGTCAGCAGGCATGAGCCCTGTGGCTTGGGCTCCTTTAAAGAGCTTTCTGCTTTTTGCCTAAGGCACTGATGCATAGGTTTGCCAGAACCTTCACCTTGAACCCAAGGTCATGGCCTTCTTCCTTGAATGCACCACTAAGCTGATCACAGGCAGAGAGCCTACCTGACTGCTGAGCATCCTACTTGCACGTGTGCATGTGTGTTTGGTGTGTGTCTGATGCTGTTGCTTTGTTGTGGACCCTATCACATTCTCTTGCCTCACAAACTAGAGCTCAGCTGCCTCAATCTTTAATCTGATGCCTCACCAAAATGAGAAAGAGAAGCGAAGGAAGAAGCGAGTCTGGAGCATGGTCCTGGCTGGACTGGGAGAGGTGGGAGCTCCCAGGTCACAGCCATCGTCACCAGCCACCATCAGGCTGGTCGGCCGTGACCTTACAGCACAAGCAGGCCTGACCAGTGTCTCTGCCCGTGGGGCAGACCTGCTGGGAGCAGGGCAGGCTGCCATGCTGCCCACTGCACGTCGAGCCTACACGCCTGCTCTGCTGAGCCTGAGCCTGGTTTGCTCAGATGGCTATGGGGCCTCATCTGTCCCCCCCTCAGTCTCAGTTCTCCTGCCAACTCTTGGGGTCTTGCTAAAGAGCTTTCTCTTTGCAGAGGATACCCTATTCCCCTCCCTTGCCCTTGATCCACAGGCTCACTGCCTGTCTCTTCACACATCTGGCCACCAGCTGTTACCTCACACATAGCTGACGTGTGTCCCTGTCTTACCCCTTCACGGATATGCACATGCTAGAGTCGGGCTTCCACCCTGACGGGGACACAGGGACAGTTAGGATTGGCCTGGAGAGCCATTTGCTCTGTCCTCTGGCTGTGATGAGACTATGCACCGTCTGGGACCGCCACCTGGACTGCAGCCTGGGCTGGTGGTTCCAAGCTCTCAGCTGTTCTGCTGACATCAAGGTACCTCCAACCAGGATTTTAATTTTCTCAATTTTCAAAAATAAAATTTTTGTGTGTTTTAAATGATAATTCTAGAGAAGCTCTCCTCCATAAAGGAGGGGTGGAACTGTATTCTACCACATTTTTTTAGATACTGCTTTTCTTTTGATATCAATACTTCCAATCCAAAATTAAAATTCATTTTTGAGACTTTTATGTACATAGCTTTTAAAGGTAAAATATTTATGACAAAAACAATCCCTCTAACCCTTTTCACACAGCATGCTTCTACCCTTCTGTAGACACTCTTGGCAGTTTTGGCATTTACTGTTAGATTCCTAAAATAAATGAGCATACTCTGCTATTTCTTGATTCAACAATTTTAGACAAAATCTGTTGACTTCCTGCTATGATAGATGGTTATTTTCTCTCTCACATCTTCCCATCTCCAGTATAGCTGTGTTGTAACTTATGGTTAAAATCACATTGTTTCTATAATTAAAACATACATAACTACTATTTATTACCAAATGAAAAGCTATATGTTAATTACATTTCTTAAAAAAAAACAAACAAACATTTATTTGACTGGGTCTGGTCTTAGTTGTAGCATGAGGGATCTTTAGTTGTGGTATATGGATCTAGTTCCCTGACCAGAGATGGAACCAGCCCCTGCTTCGGATCGCCAAGGGAGTCTCTATATTTTCTTTATGTAGCTTTTCTGCCCCTTGAAGGTAATGTCTTTTCCTTTTCATCTGTTTATTTTTTCAAAGTCCCTGGCTGAATGCCCCCACGTTCTTCACCTGCTCTCTGCAGCACCTTACAGTGTCCTCTGCTGCAGGTCAAACCCCATAGGTTGCACATCCCTTTCTCACTTCCCTGGTGCTGTCCTTCCTGAAGGCCCATCTCACTCTCTGACTAGCAGCCGAATGGCTGTTGGCCTTTCTTCCCTCCTGGAGCCCTGTCTACTGGCCTCTCTGCCACCTCTCTCTTTGACCATAAAATGGGGAAGGACATGCCACAGTAGCTTCTAGGACTTGGCACATCTGAAAATGTCCCTTCTCTTCCCACTTTTCACTCAAAGTTTGGTTGGACATATAAATGTAGATAAAAATACTTGGTCTCAGAATTTTGAAGGCACTGCTTCATTGTTTTCCACTTCACTTCCTGAGCCTCTGTATATGGCTTTATTTTTTTTTCTCTCTGAAAGCTTTTAGGGTCTCTTTGTCCCTGATGTGAAATTTTATACAGCCAAGCCTTGTTGAAGTGATCTTTTAAAAGCGCTCTGTGCTGCACTGTGCATGTTAAATTCCTGGCTGTGGTGCTGTGCTACAAGTATGTGAGACGTTACTGAAAAAGTGGGTGAAGGGTATGCAGCTTCCAGTAAGTCTACATTCATTTCAAAATTAAAGGTTAAAAATTTTCAAAAATAGTGACATCATGGAAAATGGCAGAGGTGGGTGCTCTGAGAATCAATCCTCCCATTGAAACAAACAATAAGCTTGCCAAAAAAAAAAAACCAAAACAACGGAACCAACTTTTGTAGAACTCTGGATTTTAGTCAAGATACCTAAACTAACCAGTAGGGTATTGAATGAATCTTAATTAACCCACTCTGCAGATTTTGGACTTGGCAGCCTTCAAAATTAGGGCAGCCAATTCCTTAAAATAAATCCCTGTGTATGTGAAAGAAAACTCTGGAAGAAAATTGTGGCTATTTTGACCTATGTGAAATGATACCTGATACCTCATTATAGTTTGATTTGCATTTCTCTGATAGTTAAGTGATGTTGGTGTCCTATGGGTTTTTTGGCCATCTGTATCCCTTTTTTGGAGAAATCTCTGTTTAAATCTTCTGATTTTTTGATTGGGTTGTTCTGTTTGATACGGAGCTGCATGAGCTGTTTGTGTATTTTGTAGATTAATCCCTTGTGACCCCAGCTTTGGAAGAGTGGAGTCTTAACCACGGGGCCACCAGGGAAGTCTGCCATTGGTAATTTGATATGGATTGCATTGGGTAATACAGTAATTTTGACAATATTGATTCTTCCAATCAAGAACATGGTATATATCTTCCCATCTGTTTGTATCATCTCTGATTTCTTTTATTAGCATTTTATAAGTTTCAGAGTACAGGTTTGTTGTCTCTTCAGATATGTTTATTCCTATTTTATCTTGATGAGATGGTAGATAGGATTGTTTCCTTAATTTCTCTTTCTGATCTTTTGCTGTTATTGCACAGGAATACACGAGATTTCTGTATATTAATTTTGTATGCCGCAACTTTACCGAAGTCATCGATAAGCTCTAGCAGTTTTCTGGTAGCATCTTTAGGATTTTCTTTGTGTAGTGTGATGTCATCTGCCAACAGTAACAGTTTTACTTCTTTTCCAATTTGGATTCTTTTTATTTTTCTTCTCTGATTGCCATGGTTAGCACTTCCAACACCATGTTGAATGAAAGTCACAACAGTGGATATCTTTTGTCTTATTCCTGATCCTAGAGGGAATGCTCTTAGCTCTTTACCCTTGAGAATGATGTTAGCTGTAGGTTTGTTGTATGTGGTGTTTAATATGTTGTGGTCAGTTTCCTCAATGCCTACTCTCATTATCTTTTGGAAGGAGTCAAAAAAAGGTCTAAGCACTGGCCCAGACAATTCTGACCCAGGTGTCATCAGACCACACTTTGGGGGATGTTGGGTCCCCTCTCTCCTTGAAATCTGTTTCCAGGAAGGTGTTCTTGACTGACAGCAGCTTGCAGCTTACTATAAATTCCTAGAGGTTTATATCACTTTGGACCATTTTTTCTAAACTATTCACGTACATATTTTTCTGATCAGAAGCAGAGATGAGATGTTTACTTTGCATGCACAGCCCTTGGTGCTCACTGAGTATGTGGTGACTTGATAACTGGGTTCAGAATCATAGCCCTCAGTGGGGAAGGCAGGTGGAGAGAAAGCAGGGCTATGAGCACAGGGCTGGACCTCACATGTGACGCTGGGCTAGTGGTTTGACCTTGGGCAAATGCCCACCTGGCTACATTCCCATCTTTCGGATAGACAACAAGTGCGTGTTGTCAGATAAACAACAAGAGCTGAGTATCAGGATTGTGGCTGAGAGTGCTTCACACAGCACCTGGTGTGGAAAAGTGCTTGAAACCAAGCAGGATCTTGGGTCTTCTTGGTGACAGACCCCACCATCCTGTGTTCCCCACCTCTCGTTGGTAGAAAAACGTTAGCCTCTTAGCCCTTGCCCAGTTTCCAAAGAGCAGATTTAATCAGAGAAGTGCAAAAATGGAGAAGCAAGTGCAGCAGTCAAGCAGGTCAAAGCAATGATAGTTTAGTCATTAAACAAAGTCAGGGACCTTTAGTTCCTCCCCAAGGGCTATAGGTAATATTCTGAGCCCTATCCTGAGATGATTTGCCAATAGTAATCCCCATCAAGTGGAGAAGTTAGCTGCATGCTGACAATCAGCAGGCAGACCCCTCGAGTGGTTGGAACCAGATGGTTGATGATGTAGATTCTAGAAATACCACCCTGTTACTGCACCACCCACCAGTCAGGACAAACGTCCACAAGTGATCAGGCACCCCTGACCCTCTCCCTTACCTTGCCTTTAAAAACGCTTCCCTGGGGGCTTCCCTGATGGTCCGGTGGCTAAGACTCCATGTTCCCAATGCAGGGGGCCTGGGTTTGATCCCTGGTCAGGAAGCTAGATCCCACATGCTGCGACTGAAGATTCTGCATCCTACAACTAAGACCTGGCACAGTCAAATAAAATAAAGAAATATTTTAAAATATATATAAAAAAATAAAAACGCTTAGCTGAAAGCTGTCAGGGAGTTTGGGTGTTTGGTCACAAGCTGCCCGTTCTCTGTGCTAACTCTGGGCTGGTGTCCTGCAATAAATGCTGCACTTTCCTTCACAGCCTGGAGTTGGCAGGGTGGTTTTGCTGTGCATTGGGTGAGTGAAATCAGTAACATGCTCAACTACTGGGAGCTAATATTGGCTACTAAATACCAGCAAAACATTTAAAAACGTATTATCTAATACAAAGCTTGTCTTCATACCTTCCCTTATTTTCTTTTTTTGGCCAAACTGTTTTAATATGACAAATTTGAAGTCGTTTGAGATGTTTTATTTCAGCCCAGTTGGCACAGACATTTTAATCAAAATGTTATGATTAGTAAGCATTAACTACCATCCTTTGAAAGGGGCATTAGTAAAAAGGTCCTGAGTATGAGCTCAGTGCTGATGCACACATGATTTGCATTCACACAGCAGTTCGATTATAGGTCTCCAGGGTCTCTGATATCTGCCTACCGATGTGTTAATGGAAAAAGCTGGTCCAGAGGCCGGGCTGTGCATGGTGGCTCCACAAGGGCTCTGGAGTGGATGGGAGCCTGTGAGAGGAGCATGTGGTGAGTGGCATTTATAAGAGGGGTTTCTGCAGGCTCCAGGGAACCAGCAGCTGCAGAAGCTGCTGCCTCAAGCCTCCCAATTCTAATCAGCTACCTTTGGGCTGCAGTGACTTCTGACTTTGGGTTGTACTCCTGCCTTAAAGGAAGAACATGGCTGTCCATGGCACTTATGTGGTAAAGAGCACTGACTACACACTATGTCAATTGTTTGGAAGACATGTTAATGGTTCTATCTTTGTATTGTTGACTTATTCTCATTTCCATATTGAACCTGCTCATTCATCCATTTACTCCAGAAACATTTATTGAGCACCTGTTGCATGCAAGATAGTTTTCCAAATCTAGGGACGTAGCAGTGAAGAAATCTGACAAAGATCCGTGTCTTCATGAAAGAGTGTAGTAGATGCTACGTGAGGTGGAGGAAAGAGGAGCAGCAGCAGGTACTGCAGACACGGGAGTCCAGAAACTACCGGAAGCAGCTGTGCCAGGGGAGGGGGCACATTCTGTGCAGCCATGTGAGGCAGAAGCAGGAGGTGAACAGTGGCATGAATGACACGAGGGCTCCAATCCACTACTGCACCTGCTCACTGATGGAGTTTCGCAGGGAAAGAGCATATGCCTGGCCCTGGATGTTTTTAATCAGGGCTGAGCGGGCCAAAGAAATAAGCTTCTGGGCTGGGATCCCTTACCAGAATGGGAGGTGTGTAGACTAAGACCCCCCCGACCCCGCTCCATGGGTGTGGTGACCGTTGTTTTTTTTTTATTAAGCTGAACAGCAAGATTTGTGTGTACATTTGTTTCCATTTAATGCAATTAAACAGTCTGTTACATGTACCCACTCCCCACCCTACCCAGCCACTTGCTTCCCTTCACGTCTGCAGTGGGACACGTCACTCAGCGGGGCACATGTCACACTGCAGGACGAGACCTACCAAAACAGACCATGCCTTTGCATCCAGCAGGTTGGGAGATGAACTGCAGTAATTGGATGGTGCCTGCACAAAACAGCAGGTGAAAAGGGGGTTGTTTTTTGCTTGTTATTAATATATGTCAATGCACCTGTCTTTTTAAATTTTTGGTGATGAATTCAGATTTTTTTATAGCAAATAGTAAAACTGAACCTCTCTTTGCCATAATCAGGTTTGTCAATACAGAGAAGTACTGTTTAATGACACTTGGCTTCGGTGAAAGGGCGAGTGAACTGCAGAGATTCCTCCCACTTTCTGTTCCATGACTTGGGCTCTCAGCGACTCTGCTCAGTGTCTGCAGCATGGGTACTCTGACCCCACGTCATGTTTCTCCTGATTAAAGTGACCCGGAGACCACCTCATCCAGCACCCTCACTGCTGAAGTCAGGAAGCACTGCTTCGGCCTTCCCAACATGTGAGGACTGAGGGTTGTTCCACTGCCAAGCTGGAGGAACTGAGTCAGAGCCAGTTCGCATATTTGAGACCAGACTCTACTTCACTAATTATGCTTGTTTTTTCCCCCAATTATCAAGGTGGAAGCCCTTAGGTCCTACAGAGCTCTCTCTGCCAGTAGCTACCATTGTGGAGCAGAGTGAGCCCCAGTTTCTACCATGAAGCTGTGTCCACCACCAGATGCACCGTGAAGAATACCTCAGGCTGCTGCAGGGAGCCACACAGAAGTGGGGATGTCAAGCCATTAAGTTCACGGTGCTCAGTTCAAGTTCACAATCCATGGGTCTGACTCCTGAGATGACCTTGTGGTAGGATGACCCAAGTCATCTTCTCTTTCTTGTGGACAGCTGAAATCTTCTCAGGCATCTTCTGCTTTGGGGGTGTCTAAGATCAAAGTTTCTTCCCTTTAAATGAGAAGCTGCTTTGTTTTCTGTTTCACATTTGGCTCTTCTGCAGGAGCTACACTGTTAAGGTCTGTCCACCTTTGCAGAATCGTGCTGCTCCCCCTTCCTTCTCTGTGATTTCCCACAGCTTTTACAGTTTGCTGAGGAATTTGATACTCAGGTAAGCTTTCCAGAAATCCTCTCTTTGGCATTCCCACTCTCCCAAACACTGCGCTCCCAGCAAAGTTTGGATGTGATCTTTTCTGCTGTGTCACCGCAGGGGAAGGAACGGGGGAGGTAGTCCAGGGACTGACTGACAGTTCCTGCAATGACAGGACACCAAGGCCAAGAAGAACATGCAGAAGAGCGCCTTCTAGTGAGGCTGCCCCTCGGTGCTGACTGCTCCCTAGGGGAGGAAGTTCCCTCCTTCCTTCAGTTTATAGATGCATCAGAGCTGCTCTGAGAGCATCCCAAAACAGGAACCACCGTCAGGCCCCCAGGTGAGTGGAACATCCAGGTGATCCCTCAGCTTCTAAGCCCCAGGGACACAAGTGACCACCTTGATGCCCCAGCTTTCAGGAGCCTGCTTCACAAGTACTGTGTCCTGTCAGCGCTGGAGCCCTTTCACGTCCTCTGCTTCATAGTGCACATGTAAGAGGCTCAGGTTGCGCCACTGGCATCAAAACCCCACAGCAAAAACAGCTGGAGAATGTTCCACATAGTGACATCTATTCTAAAATACATCAATATACACACCATGCACAGTTTAGTGGAACAAGGTGGGAGAGCACTGTGAATTCAATCTGCCAGGTAACTGCATCTGAGCATTTAACTAGTGTAAGCAAAGCTTTTATATTAAGTAGGTTCTTGGCTCTTAAATTTTTTTTTTTTTTTTTTGATGAGCCAAAGGAGACATTTCTAGATGTGGGCCTGAGGCCAGCATGAGGGGAAAAGGCGCATTCTGATGGCTGTGTGTATGTATGTATGCACACACTGAAGAGAGCAGAACTGTGGGTCCTGACACATCAGTTTGTAATCCAGCCCTTACCCACAACAGTTCTCCTTATGGAGTTATAGACTAATGATTTGCAACTCTACAGCTTCTCCTCACCAGGGGCCGGAAAGGAGAAAGAAAGACGCAGTTGAATAAGGGAGGCCAAGAGCTTCCCTTCCTGGTTCTGATGTCTGCAGAACCTAGGAGCTGTTAACAAGGCAAGGGCTGTGCCCTGGACTCAGTCAGTGAGCATGTGGATTACGAGCTGAGGTCTTGTCACACACCTGTCACAGGTACCTAGTGCAGGAAGAGCTTAAAGTACATCTGGCAAATAAGTAATGGATTAATATCACATTCAGTATCACCTAAGGTTTAAGACACGTAAAGGGCCAAGGATGCTCTCTAGTTAACATAAAGACAGGACTTTCATAAATTCATTCTGGGTTTAAACTCAAGCCTTAAAGAGCTACAACAAGAAATTTGTTTCATGGGACATTTTAAGAACACATACCATAAGGAATTCTATTTAGGAAAAAAAAAACTTTATCTTTCTCAACATAGTATAACTGTGGAGACAAATTATCTGTAGATTTTAGTTTCCTACCCTGCAAGGTGACAAAGGCAGGGTGCTTGGTGACACAGCAGAGTTACAGTGGCAGCTCATTTTCATTTTTCCAGTGTGGTCCTTTGCAGGTTGTATTTCTGAAGCTGATCGTCAACTGCTGATGTCACACAAATGTATCTTGTGTTTCCAACCTAGGTGGTTTCAAACAGCTAGTCACCAAAAGATAACACCATTTTATAATAGGAACTCCACACGGAACGTATGATGGAAAGTCATTTATTTTCTTCTCAATAAATTTTAAAAGACTTTAATGGAAAATGTTTGGTAGCATCATGTTACGCTGAATGCCAGCAGTGTCTGGACTTTATACACGCAAGAAGCCAGGTCAACGTGTACACATTTCTCCATGGCCCTTCAGCAGTTCTGCATGTACAAAATTGCTGTTTTGCTCTAGCAAATAGCAACATAATTTAAAACTTTCCTATGTGACACCTAAAATCCAGTCTGACATTTATTAATACAGTTAGAAAAATAAGAGTCTTAAAAAATTCATGGCATGAGTTCACGGAGCTGACCACATGATATGAGTTTATGAGATCATGGGATCTCGTCAAATGTAAGATCATTTTAAAAACTCCTACATGACAACTTTCTGGTTTAATTTGAAAGGCTTAAGACTTGAAATCTAGACTATTAAGTTGATGTAGTTAACTTTTACTTGTGTTGGGAGAGTTAATTCTTATTTTCCACTGAATGAATGCCCTCCAAATACCAATAAATATATTACAGTATTTACAAGCTTTGCTATCTTTCCTGACACTGACAGAAAGTTAAACTGTGAGAAGTGAAAGTGTTCTCACAGTGCCTCGAGGGAGAAGGTGGAATGAGGGCCGGCACACAGACACATCAGATTCCACCCAAGGCCAGCCAGCAACGCTGTTGTCAGACCAGAAGTAAGTGCCTGAAGCAGCACGAAGAGCAGCCTGGGATCCAGGAACAAGGGGGGGAGGGGGGCTGCAGGGCACAGGCAAGGCAGCGACTGTGAAAGCATGCCCCACAGGCCAGCAGTGTATGACCCTCTGGAATTACCCAGTTTGGTTGAGGTGGCGGACACATGCCATGGATGCGGGAGGATTGAGTGCGGGGATTTGTTTGGCACCAGAAAGGGATGAGGATTTCATTTCTACAATCTCAGCTATGCCATGTGCCCTTTTCTACCCTTTCTGCAAACTGTCCCATGGAAACCTGCCACTCACAATGTCCCAATAGCTGAACAGTGTCACAAACCTGGAGCAGTGAAGTCAAGGACCAGATGGGCTAGATTTTGACAGGTGAATGGGATTCTCATTTGGGGGGAGGGGTTAGCTTTTTGTATTTTAGAAACACCTATAAACTAGTCATTTTAAAAAGCACACTCTCCTGGGTCTGCTTTTCCCACGGACACAAACACCCACCCCCGCCCCTCACTGTCTTCCTTGTACCTGTCCTGGGGATAGTCTAGAGGCTCAGGCCAAACCATCAGGGGTCTAGAGTTGAAACCGTACCTTGGAAAACTGTACAAACAAGATTCACTCAATGTAACATTTGAAGCTCTTACCTGAGCCTCTTTAAAACAGTCTAAATATTTCCATAATAAGGGTTTTCTGGTGGCCCACTTTTACATGCAAATACAAAGTGTTAACATTCATTAATTACTTTAGTCAGTTGGTAAAGTTTATTTTGTAAGTGTAAGTAATTTTAAACAATTTACTAATTTATAAATTTCAACCATGAAAAACCACTACCAGAGCAGTTCTGAGGTATTACTGTTAATTCCCTATAGAAATGTTGAGGGGGCGTGGAATGACTGCCATGCCTTTTGGTGAGCAGTGCTGTCTCCAGCGCTGACTGCAGACGTGTCCTAGAGAGCGTCAGAAAGCGGCCTGGCGCATTAACCAGGCTTGTGAATGTGACTGGCTGGTCACCACCAAGCCAACCAAAACAATAGAGATATGCCACGCAACGGACCACACAGCTGAGAAATGACAGGTGTATGGTGCTGCCTCCAGCTTGGCTTCATCAAAGCCCACCCCACCCACTCAAGTCGCTTACAAGGAAAACGTGTGCAAAAAGCATCCAAAAAGCTTATCGGCAGGTTAATTTTCTAGTAGTTTTAAAAGACTAGACCATGGTTTTCCTTTAAAATTCATTTATAAAAATAAATTTCAGTTTGAGGCCTTATGTACCAAATTGTGGCTTAATTTAGTCATGATGGTGAGACTATTATGAAAACTGTGGCTGGAAAGGTGGGTGCTCCAGCTCGCTCCCCGTGGTGCTCACAGCCCTTCTTCTGGCCAAAGTACTGAGCTTCTGGACAAACTTCTACCCTGCCTTTGTCCCATGATGCCACAAAACTTTCTTAGACCTCCAACACAGAACTACTAGTAACTGTAATACATTCAAGGTAAGGACAGCCTAGCAGTTGCTCAGGAGACACTGCCTTGCTGCCCAGGGACACAGGCACCCACCCTGGGCCTACAGCCCAGATGCTTTGTCCTGGGAGGCAGTGGAGAGCCCCTCCCAAGTGTCTCAGAGCAACAATAACTTAAAACCAGTTTGAGGCACAGGCAAACCCTTGCAGGTTCTGTGCTGTGAGGTCTCCAAGGGTCTGTGTGCATCAGGTAGGAACACTGTCAGTGGAAATGCCAATATGACTTACTGCTTAGACCGTGCTGGCCTCTAGGCCTGTGCTAGATGATTCCTCACACGAGAACCCTTCTGCCTTAGTCAGAACATTATTTCAGGCACAGTAAAGAACTAAGAGGAAAGTTTCTGGCCTCTAAATCTATAATCACACAAACGTTTCAAACTACTGTCCTCTTAGTGCAGATGAGCAACTGGCGACTGGTCACGTGTTATCAATTGACATGAACACAGCATTTAGTCTGTGGAACAATGCGACACAGCAAAACCCTGATTCTCATGCAAACCCGAGCCAGTTAACCACGGTGAGGAGACAGTGATATCCCTCTCAGTGTCCTCACAGGAACGCGACTCCACACAGGAAGGCACAGGGCTCAGACCTCACTGATGGTCCTCTCTGAGGGGCAGTACTCTGACGGGCCTGCTGAGGACATGTAGAAGGACTGCGTCTTCCTCTTCAATCGGGCTCTCTTGTTGGCCAACACCAGACTATGGCGGCTTGAGCTGATGATTTCAGAAATGAACTTTTTGCAGTCCACACACACCTCCATAGCACTCCAGTCCTCCACCAGCTCTTTGGGAAATTGGAGTTCTTCATCTGATTTGTCCACCGACTTGGATTTTGAGGACAATCTTGAAAAAACATTTAAAATATCCATTATTGTTTAAGAATTCTACTGAAATACTAAGAAAATACATGTAGAAAAAGCAAATTTGTTGCCAAAATATAATGGAATAGGTGATGACTGGCCCATCTCAGATTCGTCCAAAGAAGTTATAACTGGTGACAACGTTCAAAATATTTTTTAAAAAAACAAACCAGGAAACATGTTTTATTAAGAATCTTTGTACCCCCTTATAGAATTTTTGTAAAATAGAATATTCAGATATTCACCTACTGCACACAGATCATGAACGCTAACAACTGAAATGAAATTCATGTGGCTAACGCCCCACTGATGATACAGACAAAACTTCAAGTTCTTTCTCAGTGACCCATGTCACAGTTAATGAACATTACTTAACTGTTGATGGTAGGTCAGAAAACTACAGGAAACTGAAGTAAATTTATCTTAATCCTGTGACACAACCTGAAAAATTATCTTTGGACTAGCTTTCTTATTTTAGTATGTATTTATCAAATATACCCCCTGACTACAGCAATTGTCTTTTAGCCAGGTAACTATTTGGATTCCAGAGAGCTGGAGTTAACTAGACCAACATCACCATAAATATTTTGGATGGTTTTTGGAAATAACTAGGAATCATCTACTCACTATTTTAATTAAACCAAACAGGAACGTAGAATTAAGTACAGGAAAGAATAGCAGCCATGTTCACATGTCCTGAGCCCATGGACAGCAGCCCAAACTCAAGAGCCCAGGATAGGGGCTGAGCACAGGGCAGAAGCCTCGGACACAGGTCTGAGGAGCTTCCAACTCCCTCACCTCACTGTCCACAGGCCTTGACATGCTGAATGGCCACCATCCAGCATTTGACACCAATGCTAGTGTCCCTCACAGATGGAGGGGCTGCTGGTGTGTAAAAGTCTGCCCCTTGGGCCCTGCCAGCTTGGGACCTGAACTGGTCTGCCTTCCTCCTATCTTTCTTAAAGACCAACACTAACCTGAACACAAAGCGATTGATACCCAGGCATGTTTTCCTTTTAAAATGCCAGCTCTTGGCATAAAGCTTTATTTCTGTCTTTATGTTAGGAATGTAAGTCAGCTATTTCAGACCACTGTAAACACAGGATTAAAAATATTTTTTTCAAAACTAAAGGAAGGAAAGATTAGACTCTTATGTGCAAGTTTTCAACTCCACAGAAAAGGACAGTTTTAAAGATGACTTTTAAAGGATACATAAAAGTAATTATTTCCAAAGTAGAAAAAATATTAAACTAGGAGATTGTGTCTTTCAAGGAGCTAGCCATTATCCTTGACATGCTACTGCTGGAGATTTGTATAGGTCAAAACTATTAAAACCAACCCACCCACATGCCCCTCCTCAAGCCAATATCCCACCATGTCACCACAGTCCTTGAAAGTGCTTTCTTCTTTCACAAAGGACACTTTGGAGACCCAGGCCTCCTGCTCACCTGGCAATGCTCCGAAGTGGCCGATGGTGGCCAGTGGAGGATTTTTCTGGCCTCATACAGCTTTCCCCTCTCTGCAAGGCAGACGGTCCCAGTGAAAAGATAGGAAGGGTGGAGTATGGCTTGGAGGGCAGCCGCATCTGTGATCCCAAATAAAACTGAGAATGAGCAGGATTGCTGGAGAGGCAGAGTCACTGAAATCAGCACAAGCTGTGACTTTACTGAGCTCGGCTTACCTTTTTGCAACACTGTGAGCACACCGGCCTGTACACAAAATCAGAAGGGTTACTTAGCGTGATTCCATGGATACGACTGGAGAGTTAAGAGAAGCCAAAGGCTGCATGCCTCTACCTGTCTAGAGTTGGTCCCCCAAACTCCAGTTCTTCTACCAGAAGGAAAAACAAACTGATATAACCGGCTCGCCAAAAAGACCATCAGTCTGTAAAACTTAATGCTATGTCCTATGAAAGGATCAACTTAATGTCCAGGATTTTCTTGTCTATTGTGGGTTCACCTGAGCGTCACATCTATTTTTTTCTGTTCTAACATGACATATTATTATTAGAACTATCTTGAATACATAAAAGAAATACATGCAGAGAAAAATTTTCCAGGCTTAATATCAAATAACCATCCGCTGTTGAAGCAATTGCTATTGTAACTCATAAGCATGGCACATGATAACACACTGAATTATTTCTACTGTTGTTCCTGTTAGAAAAATGATGAAATAGTGGAGGTGTTTCCTTGACTACTGTCATCAATTACAAAAAGCCTTACCTCTTACAGAACTGACAGGTATAAGACCAGGTGAAGAAGGAAAACCTTCTGGTTCGGCAACAAAAGCAGAGCTAAAAAACAGAAATTTTAAAGGAGAAAAAAGAATTGCCAACAGTTAATTTCCTAATTTTTACATCTAAACACGTATTTGTATGTGGAAAGTCTTAGTAGACACAAAGGGAGAAGAGCATTTAGAGACCCTTTTACTAAGTTTGATTCTGTGACAGTTACAATCTGGCTCTGTATTTGATTATAATTCTACTTTTAAATGGCAGAAAAAGGCCACAGCTCTTAAGGGTCTTGCCATCATGGAAGCAATCTGAAGATTCTAAAAAAGTGTCCTGTGTTTCTCAGATATATTTTCTCAATAATCCTTTAAAAGTTTAACAACTAAGAGCAGACCTGGTTTTAAACCTTATGGTTTTCAATTTCTATGGGAGAAATAATAATACTTGCTTCTGTGAGCAAGGGAACAGGGACTGCCTGGCAGAGGGTGAGCCTCTGGCCCCTGGAGCCCCCAAAGCCCCGTGCCACCTGGCAGCAGATAGTGCCCACGTGACCCGCCAACTGGAAAGGGCTCTACCTTTCCTTTTTTCAGAGCCGTGTAGACATCTTTGTACTGTTGGTACTTTTCCAGCTCTGCTTTGACCAGGACCTGACGAATGTGCATCACCTCCTCCACAGTCAGTGCCAGGCACTCCACCGGGTAGCAGAACTCCTCCTGAAAGTCAGAATCCATGTGAGCAAAAAGCCACACCCGCTCCGGCAGGGCCATGTCCCCTCCATATCAGGGCCCTGGTTAGTAGCTCCAAAGAAGAAAGAGGCTCCCAGGAAACCCTGGGGCAGAGCTAGCTCGCTCTGGGGACCACAATCTCTGATCACACCCAGAAGGTAGCAGGAGACTTCCGGGTCCCAGGTAGCACTAGCCGACCAAGACCTCCAGTAAGTTTCTCATGTGTGTTCAGATGCATCTCAGGCATCTCCAGTCCCTGAAGGGGAGCTGAGTATCTGTGTCCTGAAATCTGGGGGAAATGTTACTGTTCTAAACCAAATTTATGTCCATTTTCTCCTGATACACAAAGACAGTACATATAGCTTTCTGTTGTATACTATTTGCTCAAAGATAAAGAGCAAATCTACAATACTGGTACAGTTTTAAACACTGATTTGTGGTACCCAGAACGGCCCAAAGAAGATGGTTAGTAACTGACATTGAGAAACGTTATTTAGTGGTTAAGTTACATCAGCATAGCCTGAAAACTCCTAACGGTGTGAGTGAACTGGACCTGGAGGCCAGCAGACATTCGCATTGGGCTGCCCCATGCGCTCCAGAGCCCTTGTCACTTTTCCACATGGGACTGTGGAGGATGACGCTGATGTAACTGATCCCACTGAATAAAGAGCCTCTCGCCTGCTCCCAGTTGGCCCTGCACTGATTGTGGACCCAGGAGAAAGACCGAAACATCCTGTGCGCCCACAACATGTGGGCCTCACAAACCAGTGCCCTCGGTGTGCACACACGAACTCACACCCACACACAGAGCAGCGCTGTGCACAGGCATTCTGGAGTCAGACAAGCCAAACAAGAAAGCACAAGACTATGGATGCAATTCATGGAGATTTAACATTCAGTTCTGTCTTCTAATCAGAGAAAAACAAAATTCTAGGCTGCAAACTTGACAAACATTAGCATTTACTAAAAAAAAAAGAAAGTTTGCAGAATTACTGCTGCTTATAGTCATTACAAAATTATCTCTGTTCAAGCTAACTTAGGGAAGATTAAATTTGCTAAAAATGTTTTAGAAAAGATCCTTCAGTTGAATTTTTAAGACGAACAGCTTAGCATCTGGAGGATGGGAGGATAGCTTGTTAGATTATATCATGTGCTCTAGGATGTATAAATACTCAAAAAATCCCACCATCACACAATTTTCTCTCAGTAAGAAGAGCTTTCAAAGATAACAAGCTTGTTGGCATGTCCAATATTTACTGTGCTTTGCTCGGCCCTGAGAACAGAGTGTGTGTGTGTCCACTGGGACAGGATAGCCTCTGAGTGCTGGACATCACAACTGTGCTCAGACTAATGTGCCGGCTGCACACACTGAACAGCAACTTTTCTCAGCTTCTGACGTGTTGTTAAGAAGTCTTTACAGTCGTCTTTATTCATCAGCGACGAGCATGACTACCTATATATGAATCTAGCAAACAAGCAGAAACTGTTCCCTGAGATTGTGGCCGTGTGTTACGAAGATGGCAACCTTACAATGTGACGCAGGCAGTGAGATGTGCTGCAACCCTGATAGCAGGCACTGCCCTCTCCTCAGCCTCGAGTCACAGATGGGCTCAGTCAGAGCCTACTTTTGACTTTCTGCTCTGAACCATACCCAAATTCACTGCTCTGTTAGATAAAATAAGAAATGGTGGGGGTTTTTTTGGTGTTCATGTTCTTTTTTTAGAATTTCAAGCAGATTATCCTTTGGTAAATAGCTTCCATCAGGTCAAATGCTAATGTTTTAAATCTGGTGCTTTCCCAAGGACAACAAAACTTTAATGCAACATGAAAGAAAATAAATAATTATAGACTAGCTTTCATTTTTTTTTTCAACTGATGAAAAAATACTGATTCAACATCCCCAAAGCCAAATTACCCCAGATCTTGCTGAGATCCTCATGCTGCAAAATGTGAAGGGCACTCAGGGTTCGCACCCCACCCCGAGCTGAGCCCCTGTCCCCTCTGTCACGAGGGGCTGGCCACACTACAGCAGGCACGGAACTTGGGCCCTGGCCCGGCACGGACGCCGGGGGCCAGAGCAGCAAGACTGATTCTCTGGCTGCTCTGTGCTACAGGGCGGCTCCCAAATTTAGAAACAGGAAGCTAAATCTTAAGTTTTCAGAGATCACAATATACTACAGGGCAGCTGTGCCTTTAGAACTCACTGTACATATGTCACTAAAATGGCTGGGTTTCTGTTAAATATTCTGGTTATATTTACCATTCAAAAGGCATCAGAGTTAAGCCAGCACAGAAATTAGAGAGCACAGTATATCATCTGTTACTGAGCTGGAGAAACAGAAACAGTCACATTTTATAGTGTTTTTGGTTAGCCAAAACCTCATAAATAAGTAGGAGAGATTTGACAATTATCCAAAACAGCCTTTGAGTTCTTAATAAACCAAAGGAAAGCACACTTAAAAAGAGCAAATATTAACTCTCTTTTCCAAGTACATCTTTAAAATTCAAGGTAAATTATCTATCTAAAGTCATCTGTAGACTTAGTAGATAGACTGGGGAGGGTTGACAATAAAAACAAAATGTCAGAGATCTTCAGAAACAGCAGTAGGAGGGGCGGTACTAAATGCCACTCCTGCATCTGACCATGGCTCACATGGCCAGATCAAAAACGAAAAACAGGATGAAGCCTGAATTTCATGCCAAATGAAGAGAAAGTAATCTGTTGTACCTCATTTACATTCAGTTTCTTTTCTGAACCAAGATGGGTAATAAAGAATAACAAAGAAACTAGCGGCAGTTTGCTTGTCAAGGACCGGTCTGGTCAACAGGAAGGATCCTGGAGCCAGGCGGGCTGCTGCCACATCGGCTGCACTGCGGGCAGGGGAAGCCTGAAGACGGTCCCCAAGATTTTTTATGCCACTGAGGTCTGGGAATTATACTTTGTCTAAAAAGTGTATTCTGTATGAAAATCTCAAAGACAATACAAAGTGAGTATTTAAAATATTTTAAATAATCACATCGATAAAAGAAAACTTGATTTCTCTGTACAGAGAAGCAGCGTGGATTTTTGTAACAACCATCCTGACAATCATAACACAGCCATACAGGAGCTGGAGAAGAGGAAGAATCCCCGTGACTCCCTGGCTGGGCAGCTGAGTGTGGACAGCTTCTGGGGGAGGCTGGCGGGAATGCCTTTCCATCAGGTCCCTCAGAAGCTCCGCCCACAGGCTCCCTGACGCTGCTGCATTCTGAGTTTGTTGTCCTTTCACTATCATCCTGTCATTTGAGATCATGGTGTGATCTATGCATCTACCAAAGATTGGAATCAACGGTCAGAAGCAAAGTGTCCATCTAAGCTGTTAATTTGTGCAGAGTGTGGCAGCTGAGGCATCACGACCAGAGACAGAGGAAGGTAATTCCCAGAGCCCGCAGGAGGCCAACCTGTGTGTGTCTCCACCTGCTGGTAAAAGCTCTCTCACACAGATAATAAACAGCCCCTGCTACCCCCAGCATGGCTGCCTCCAAAGGGTGAGAGCCGAGCAGAGAAGCTGTTTGGAGGGTAGAAAAAAGTGGTCGGAAAGGCGGCGCTGGCCATGCTCTGGTCATCCTTGGAACCTGAACAATACGTATGGGGAAGAGAACGGCAGGGGAGAAGAAATGGAGAAAATACTGCTGAACATGAGTGACTGATACAGAACCATTATAGAGCATGAAAGAAAAACAGACAAAAACACCACAGAGGGCATTAATGTTAGATTCCACACGGGTCTCCAGGCCATCATCTGCATCCATTATGTGTCAAAAGGAAATAAACCACGAAGTCACGGCTGGAGAATCTGAGTTCACACAGCAACACTTCAGCTGTCCTGTGAACTCCATCTCCCACATAGGTCTGCGGGATGCAGGCCCAAGGCGACAGCAGAAACACACCCAGCAGCCACCCCTCCCCTACTCGGAGGGCGCTGCCCCCAATCATCTGACCAAATGATGCAAAAAAGTACACTTTCAACATCCTGAGGAAAGGGTGCTAAGTCTCTTCAGTTGTATACGACTCTGCAACCCCATGACTGTAGCCCACCAGTCTCCTCTGCCCATGGGATTGGATTCTTCAGCCAAGAACACTGGAGTGGATTGCCATGCCCTCCTACAGGGGATCTTCCTGACCTAGGGATTGAATCTGCATCTCCTGTGTCTACACTATTGGTAGGTGAGTTCTTTACCACTAGTGCCAACCTGGGAAACCCCAGGAGGAAAGGGAGGAAGGTCCAATATAAATGAAAATCAAAAAAATAAAATAAAATAAATGAAAATCAGTAACAACAAAAGAATCTTCTGCTGTCTTTAGTTGAGACCTTATAAATGCAAAATGCTTCAGTGTTTTCTTAAAAAAATAGCTAAATCATACTTTTAAAAACAATACTTACAAAACTAGAGGCCACTGCCACTAAAGGAGTGGGATTTAAGGGATTTCCCATGATAAGCTACTGGCAAGAAAAGTCAGGACTTTGATCTGGAGGTTCTTGCATCTCAGCTGGGCCCTAGAGGCACTGAAGGGGTGGAGTTCTGTGAACAAATACCAGTCCGCACAGACCACAGGGCTCCCCTGCCTGCTCACTAAGCCCCTTCTCCGCAAAGGCATGCTGGTTGTACCTTGCTCTCCTCCTCCACAAAAACATCTCACAGTCTGACCATACACACTGAGCTCCCCTGCGCCAGGAAGACACCTCATAGCCTTCCTTGGTGAAGTTTCTATCACCAGCCAACAGGGCTTCCCAGGTGGTGCTAGTGGGAAAGAACCCACCTGCCAACACCAGAGACATAAGAGACATGGGTTCGATCCCTGGGTTGGGAAGGTCCTCTGGGGGAGGGCATGGCAACCCACTCCACTATTCTTTCCTGGAGAATCCCATGGACAGAGGAGCCCGGTGGGCTACAGTCCATGGGGGTCGCTGAGTCTGAAATGACTGAAGCAATTTAGCACACATGCACCAGCCAAATACTCCTTGTAGTTAATCTGACAGTGTCTTTACACTGTTAATTTTAAGTTTAACCTCAACAGTGACATCATATGATCGCAAGGCCAGGCACACACAGCTGAATGACAAACTGACTTCTAGGAAAAGCTGTGTAAAGAAAAGAACCTTCTAATCATTGGGCTTGTGGAAAAAAAATCACAAAGGCGCTCCCTCTCATGTATTTTTCAGTTGTAGCAGTTAACTATGTATTTTGTCAAATAACGTATTAACAAAAAAAGCCTTTGGATTTTAAAGTTTGAACGTGTCTGGTGAGAGTTCTGTTTTTCAGGTGGTAAACCACTGATAAAGCTGTATTTCAGCATATTTCAGTGTGTAAGGAATAGGACTTAGAGGAATCCTAACAAGAGTTGCCACAAAATCATTAATTCTTTAATCACATTATTTGGGAATAGAGATGACTGATCAATTCAACGCTATCAGTGCAGTTCAAACTTGGTTTCTTCACAAAAACCACACCACTGGAGGGAGGGACCTCTATCATTGCTTCCTTGAACCACTGGTGATTCATTACAGCCTTAAAGTATGGACTCAGCAGAGTCTAGTGTTTTATTCACGAGAATCTGAAGAAACACAGGTTGGCTGCTGGTAGAATTATTGACTGAATCCTTGTACTTTGCCTGCAGGTATTTGGGAAGTCAAGCGGGACAGAAAGAACCTTCGCAGGTTTCCTCTGGCAGATCCACTGCCTCTTCCTGGAAGGACCTCGTGGGCTACATCCCCTGTCTGAGAAGTGAATAGCCATGATGTAAGCCTGGATGTCTCTGGAACAAACAGCGCAAACTGTCAACCCATCCAAACAGCTGCAGTGACTCCAGTATCGCAAAACATGCTTGAAAACATGGAATAATGCATTTTTATGAATCAAAATTCTCCCTTTGGACATCTGCCTCAATGAAAGTCTACTGTAGTCAGACTTCACTAAGTTTTCTGTTTAGTTTCAACAATTTTTAAGTGGCATTTGAAAGGAAAAAAATGTTTCTTTACTAAATATTCATACTTTGAACCATAAATAAGTGTTCCAGGGGGAAAAAAGTACTTTAAATGAACAAAGAATGTCAGATTTCACTTGGTTACTCTTAGAATTGGTTTTCTTCAGCTAATAACAAATAAGGTTATTTATAAAGTTCATTCTAGCTTCTGGAAGCTTCTCAAGGAAACTAATGATTCCAGGTCTCTAACTGCTTACAAGTTTCTCTGCAGAGTCTGTGGGCTACTTACGAGAGACCGGGAGCTCTGCCTGGATGCCGGCAGGAACTGTCTCACGTTAGTGGGTGTTTCCTTCTCAATGGAATGTCGTCTCTGGGGCGGCTGCCGTCGCTCAGGCTGAGGTGTGGAGGATATGGGCAAAAACTTGGGAGGGTCTGAAGAAACAGGATGAACCAAACTGAAATCAATTCTCTTATAAAAGAAAAAAAAAAGCAACTTAGGTTTCAAATTTCTAACAGAAAACCCTCTGCCATGTGTGACCAACTGCATTCAGAGATGAAGCGTTGATTTTGTTTGAGTGATACATTAGGACTGGAGGCCACTAGAGGACCCTGGAAGACTGTTATAGAATAATCTCTGCAAGATAAACTTGCTACTGAAATAGCAAGGAAAAGGAAAAAGTGTTCAATATTCAAATTCATGCATAAAAGGCAACATAAATGGAGTCTCAGATTCATAATACAAATGCCAAATTAAGAGTCTTAGGCTTTATTCAAATTATTTTTTTAATTGGGCAAAAGACTTGTATTCAATAAACAATTTCAAGGGCAAAGAATTCAAGGAATAGGTCTTGGGCTTTATTTTAAAAGCATGTGAAAATTATGTATTGTTTGTGTCAAATCATACCAAAATTGTCATGTATACCTTGCTTTTAAAAGAAAATAGGAAAACTCTTCTTGATGTGTATCAAGACATTTTATCCTTAGTTTAAATCAAGCTTTATTTAAATTAAAAAAATAAGTTTCACCTTCAATGTTAATACTATATATGCCACTGCTCCTCTGTCTAGGAATATCTGGGGACAGAGTTTAAATGGGCAATGTTTCAGGCTCTGATTCACATTGTGGAAACACAGGAGGACATCAAGAACTCTGCTGTCTGTCTCTCCGTCCTTCCTCCCACCCTCTGTGCAGTAATAAGGTGAGGAAAAGTGAAAGTCAGCACAGTGAGGAGGAGATGACCATCTACTTGGACTGTCCGAGCAATAAATCACTTAAAAAAACAGAATATAATTCCCTCAATCAAGAAAAGGTACAGAAATCCATCATGTGATTTAATGGAGTCTCTATAACATTTAATGGGTCTGGTCAAATACCAATTACAGATAATAACCAAGGTCAGCTCCTATTGTTTTTGATGTAATCTGTTTAAGTAAATCAAAATACCATTTGAAGAATTTTAACCACTGAAACCTCCACATATACATATACAAAAAATGAAGTCAATATACTAAAGATACTGTAATATGTTTTTTCTTAGCAAAATTTTAAATAATTGCATAAATTATTTAAATTGAACATAGTATTTACCATCTAACCCAACTGAACACTGTAAAAATTTACCAATTATACCATTTTAAAACATACAGTTCAGCGGTATTAAATTGTTTACAGTTACCTTGTTATGCACCTGGTTGTAAACTTTATTGTACTTTGTTGGATGATATGTATATTTTTAAATATTTATTATTTATTTATTTGTCTGAGCTGTGTCTTAGTTGTGGCATGTGGGATTTAGTTCCTTGACCAGGGATCACACCTGGGCCCCTTGTATTTGGGGGCATTTCCCACTGGACCATGGGAAGTCCCAGACGATATATTAAATGGATATAAAATAAATTGAATGTCTAAAGGGCTAAAAAAATAAATAAAAATGTAAAATGTGATTATTAAAAACAAAATGTATTTGGCAGGATAAAAATGTAGTACTGTTAGAATGTGTTTAAATGTAAGAGGTCATCAACTTAAAATATTCACCTGTCAATATATGAACCTATGTGGTAACCACAAACCAAAAGCCTATATAACAAATACAGAGAAAAGAGAAAGGACTCCATGTAACACTAAAGACAGTCATCAAGGAAAAAGATTCCTTTTTTCTTGGAATAAAAGGAAATAAAAACAACCGCAAAACAATGAACAAAATGGTAGTACATACATATCTATTAATATCAATAAATACCAATAATGGACTTTCCTGGTAGCTCAGCCTGTAAAGAATCCGCCTGCAATGCAGGAGACCTGGGTTTGATCTCTGGGTTGGGAAGATACCCTGGAGAAGGGAATGACAACCCACCCCAGTATTCTTGCTTAGAGAATTCCATGGACAGGGGAGCCCGGTGGGCTACAGTCTGTGGGAGTGCAGAGTCAGATACAACTGAGCAACTAAGCATGCATGCACAAATATTAATCATTGCTTTAAACGGAAATGGACTAAATGTTCCAATTGAAAGCCTCAGAGTGCTATGGAACTCTCCTCAGTGTCATGTGGCAGCCTGGATGGGAGGGGAGTTTGGGGGAGAATGAATACATGCATATGTATGGCTGAGCCCCTGCACTGTTCACTGGAAACTGTCACAACACTGTTAATCAGCTATAACCCAATACAAAATAAAAAGCTAAAAAAAGAAAGTGAAAAGACAACCCAGAAAACAAAAGATATTTTCAAATTATATATATTTTTTTGATTTGACATCATTCTTGTTTTTAAAACCAGAACATTTATTGTGCGACTACCTGTTGAATTTTATTTTTCAACACAAGTCTTCTTTTTAACATAAATGCTTATAGAAATAAACCTCCCTTTTGCTCTGGGACAGTTTCTGTTGACTTCTTTTTTCTTCTGAATGAGCCATACTTTCCTGTTTTTTTATGTGCCTTGTGATTTTTTGTTGAACACTGGACATTTGAATTTATCAATGTGGTAATTCTGGAAATTAGATTCTACCCTTCCCCAGAGTTTGCTGAGTTTTGTTACTGTCTCCATTCACTGTTTCTCTTACTGTTGAAGGCTGATCTTTGAAGATCAGGCTGATGTTAACTTAACATCTCCTCAGGTCCTTGATGAGCCATTCCCTGGGCATTCATGGTCACTTTCCAATTCTCGCATATCCCCTGGAATATGAAGGGGTGAGGGGGAAGCTGACAACAGCTCAGCAATGGCCGTCTACATCTGTCTGCACCTCTGAAAGCAGCAGCAGTGACCAGAACACAGAGCCCCAAGATCTGAAGGGCCAGATTATTTTGTCCGTCTTGGCCCCGCCAGCTGTGTGCAAGCTGTTTCAGGAACGGCACACAGATGCCTGTCATGTGGATGGGGACAGGGGAATGAATGGCTGCCACTCACTAAGAGCTGAAATCTTACTGAAGGTTACTGAAGTTAACCACAATTCACCATCTTCCCCTGGAAGTTGTAAACATTCAACAGATTCTAGCATTCCAAATATAATTATATTAGACAGATTCTGCCACTGCAGTTATTGTCTAGTTGGAAAGACAACTACATGGTGCCTGCTACTCTGCCGTCTGCCCAGAATCCTCCCCTCTAATATTTAATTGTTAATCCTTTATATGAATCTTACAAATGAAAAGATTACCAACACTGGGCCTTCCCTGGTGGTCCACTAGTTAAGAATTTGCCTTGCAATGCCATGAACACAGGTTCAATACCTGGTTTGGGAAGTTAAGACCCCATGCGTTGGAGCAACTAAGCCCACACCCCACAGCTAGACAGCCTGGGCACCTCAGGGAGAGACCTCACGGAGATCCCACACACCCCAGTGAGGACCCGACACAGCCAAGTAAGAACTTTCAAAAAGATGGCCAACAGTACTTTTCAAAATCACTTCACTTTAGAGTCTGTATTAGAACCTATAACCTGAAGAGTTATAAAGGTGTTGTTATTACCTACGTGGGTAAGGGGGAAGGGTGTGTGGGGGTGTATTTGTGTGTGTGTAGAAGGAATGATAACAAGTGTGATTATTCAGGGCTTCTGGCTTAAATTTAGATAATGAGGTAATTCTAAAAAGTAAACACAGGCTGACCTACTCCCTACAGCTATTATCTGTAAGCCCAAAGGTGACTGCTTTGTTGTTAAGTTGAGAACCTGAGACCCAACTACCAGTTTAGCCCTATCTTATGATGTTATTCTAGGAAAAAAACGATTATTTCTGCTCCTGACCAGTGCAATTCCAGGACTGGTTCTTTAGTTACCCCAAATGACAACGAGGCACTTTGGGATTCCCTTTTCTAGGTTAAACATGTTTTTTAAGGCATCTGACACTGGTTCTTGTACCACAAATACTCACTCTTCCTTGTGGACACAGTCTCTAGGAAGGGGTCTTCCAGGAAGGAGGGAGATGCACTGCTGCTGCTGGCAGACCTGGGCAGGGTCTCCTCCTGAAAAAGACACAGGGCAAGGGGGAGAGACAGATTTCTTAGACACTACTGCTCTCATGCTCATTAAGGGTGTTCACTCGTAAGAAGTAACGTAAGGCACCACATTTTAATGTCCAAGGTTCAAAGCAAGTTGGAGACAAACTAGAAGGGATCTAAAATTAGACATATCTGGGTGTGTGCCCCAGCTTTGTTCCTCATTAAGAGTGATGTGACATAGAGCAAGTTTCTTATCTCAGTTTCATAATTTCAATAGGGTTACTACAAGGACAAATCTGAGAACACATTGAAGATGCTTAACACATCACCTGGCACACAACAAAGGGTGATTAATATCATCAGTCAAGTATTTAACATATTTAAAAAACTAATAGACTTATAACCCCTACAGAGGTAGATGTGTTTTGTTCATTGTTGTTACCTACTACCAAGTCCATCCCTTACTAAGTAATGCATAAATATTTGTTGAATGAATGAAAACATATTTCATGAGAAATATGTCTGCACTGTGTCAAATAAAATTTAAATTCCTGTTACTTGTGAGAAGAGACCTTCTTAATTTGTTTTAGACTATGCCAAAGTGAGGTACAATATTTATTCATGAAAAATTTACTACTTACTATGTGACAGGAGATATATATTAACTGGAAGACAACTCAATTCCATAATACATAGAGAAAACTGCTAAATATTTTTAAATATAGAAGAAAGCTAGGTTAATATATTAATCTATGATTATGTGAGACAAATAGTGAAAATCCTTTCTGACCTACTTAGTGTGGAAAGCATTAGTTTCGAACAAGCCCCACTATAAAGGACCTAGTCAAGGAACAGGAGAAGAAGAAAGCCGTGTACAGAGTCCACACAAGGACGGTCTGAGAAGCCACCTCCTCCTGGTGCTCACTGCCAAGAACAAACCAGGCGACATCAGCCAAGCCTCACCCAGAGGTCATACATAGGACATCATACACATCTACAGAAAAGTCAGTGAGAACTAGCTTATCTTCTGCTTCTGGAAGGTCAAAAGGAAGTAAAGCTATGACTATCTCAGAAGAAAAGAGGATTTCTCAGCAGTTATGAGGTGGGAGCTCCTGATTCAAACAGCAGAAACCATCTCTGCTGTACATCCTTCAACCAACCTTCCCAGAACCACTGTTACAGCTAATTTTACTGAAGTCTGAGGCATGACCATGCTGCGCAGCCTCCCTCCTTCCGAAGGGTCTGAAACGCTTCCCCTGAGAGCAGTGAGGAGTCCGCCCTAGGCAGGTAGGGTGGGCATGGGATTGCTGTGGGGAGGGATGTGGCTCAGAACCTCTTAGGATTTTCTCCCAGAAGCTGTGGATTGCCCCCTGCTTCTGTCTTGCCCACCTTAGGGAGCTGACCTACTTTCAGACTACTTGAAAACTAATCCTACCATTAAAAAATAAACTCAAAGTGGATTAAAGATCTAACTGTAAAACCGGATACCATAAAACTCCCAGAGGAAAATGTAAGCAGGACACTTATTGATATAAATTGTAGCAATATTTTATTGGATCCATCTTCTAAAATAGGAAATAAAAGCAAAAATAAACAAACAGGACTTAAACAGTTCATCTTAACATCAAGAAAAAAACAATTAAAAAATGGGCAGAAGAACTGAACAGACATTTTTCCAAACAGGAAATGCAGATGGCCAACATGGTACATGAAAAGATACTCAGCACTGCTAACTACCACGGAAATTATAATCAAAACCACAAGGAGCTATTGCCTCACATCTGTCAGAACAGCTATCACCAAAAACAAAACAAAACAAAAAAACACAAATAATAAATATGTTGGAGAGGATGTGGAGAAGGGGGAACACTTGTACACTGTTTGTGGGAATGTAAATCACTGCAGCCACTGTGGAGAACAGTATGAAGGTTTCTCAAAAAACTAAAAGCAGAACTACCATATGGCCTAGCAATTCCACTCCTGGGTATGTATCTGAAAAAAACAAAAACACTAATTCAAAAAGATACATGTGATCTATTATTCACAGCAGCATCATACTAGTCTTTGACACTCACCACTGTCCGAAGTCCCACAGTTGTGCTCCCAGGGTGGGGCTGTCCCTGAGGCCACCAGAGTCATCTCAGATACAAGCCTCGGCACCGAACTCACTGGGCAGGAAGGAAAATCTCCCTTTTCTTGACAAGATGCCCAGTTAAGGCACAGATACAGCTCCTAAGCTTTGCTTCCCTACTGAAAGCTTTGATATAGTGCCAATCAAAAGCTTATCTTGACTTTTACAATGTTACCTGGGTCTGGCTAGTAGAGGTTATTAAAGATAGACCAAAAAAAACACAGAGATTAAGAATTTTGAGAAAAAGAAAGAAGACCTGGTGCTGGGAGGTCTATTCATAGTTTGGTAGGGATTCTGTTACTTTTCTGTTGTCTTGACTTTGTAAACTAAGCCTCTGCCTCCACTAGGCCGTGTTCTTACTGCAAAGTAATGATGTTGAACACAATTTCTAAGCCCCTTTTCCAGTTAAATTATTTTCACTTAGGCATTCTCATATACTGCTAGTTGGAATACTAGAAAGTTTATGAGATATGAAGATTTTGGGCTTAGATCTGTGTTTCAGATCTGTCTCTATAATTTACTTTATAACAATCTTAGTTCAAAAACAAAACCCTTCTGCGTGCACTCAATATGCCAGCAAATTTGGAAAACTCAGTAGTGGCCACAGGTCACCTTTCATTCCAATCCCAAAGAAGGGCAATGCCAAAGAATATTCAAACTACCACACAACTGCACTAATTTCCATACTAGCAGGGTAATGCTCAGACTCCTCCAAGCTAGGCTTCAACAGTATGTGAAGTGAGAACTTCCAGGTGGATTTAGAAAAGGCAGAGGAACCAGAGATCAAGCTGCCAACATCCACTGGATCATAGAAAAAGCAACAGAATTCCAGAAAAACATCTGCTTCATTGACTATGCTAAACCCTTTGACTGTGTGGATCACAACTGTGGAAAATTCTTTAAAGACATGAGAATACCAGACCACCTTACCTGTCTCATGAGAAACCTGTATGCAGGTCAAGAAGCAACAGTTAGAACTGGACATGAAACAACAGACTGGTTCAAAATTGGGCAAGGAGTACGTTAAGGCTGTATATTGTCACCCTGCTTATTTAAGTTATATGCAGAGTACGTCATGTGAAATGAGAGGCTGGATGAAGCACAAGCTGGAATAAAGATTTTGGGGAGAAATATCAACAACTTCAGATATGCAAATGACACCACTTTAATGGCAGAAATTGAAGAGGAACTAAACAGCCTCTTGAGGAAAGTGAAAGAGGAGAGTAAAAAAGCTGGCTTGAAACTCAACATTAAAAAAACTAAGAGCATGCCATCCAGTCCCATCACTTCATGGCAAATAGATGGGGAAACAATGGAAACAGTGACAGGCTTTATTTTCTTGGGCTCCAAAATCACTGCAGATGGTGACTGCAGCCATGAAATTAAAAGATGCTTGTTCCTTGGAAGAAAAGCTATGACCAACCTAGACAGCATATTAAAAAGCAGAGACACACTTTGCCAACAAAGGTCCAGATAATCAAAGCTATGGCTTCTCCAGGAGCCATGTATGGATGTGAGAGTTGGAGATGACTCTTGAGAGTCTCTTGGACTGCAAGGAGATCAAATCAGTCAATCCTAAAGGAAATCAGTCCTGAATATTCACTGGAAGAACTGATGCTGAAGCTCCAATACTTTGGCCACCTGATGTGAAGAACTGATTCACTGGAAAGACCCTGATGCTGGGAAAGACTGAAGGCAGGAGAAAGGGAAGACAGAGGATGAGATGGTTGGATGGCATCACCAACTCAATGGACATGAGTTTGAGCAGGCTCTGGGAGTTTGTGATGGACAAGGAAGCCTAGTTTGAAGCCTAGTCCTGCAGTCCAAGGGGTCACAAAAGAGCTGGACATGACTGAGTGACTGAAAACTGGCTGAAAACTGGGAGGAGGGCAAGCAGCGGCTGGAGTGACACAAGGGCCCATGGAGGGCTGGCCTCCTGACCTTGAACGGGAGTGGGCCTCACCTCCGAGTCGGAGCTGTCCAGCTCAGCCAGCGTTGGGGCTTTGAGGAGCTTCTTCCGCGGCACGGGCACCTGCTGGGCGGCTCCTGACCCACCTTCTCTGGGCTGTGACGCCACACCTCCATTCACCATGGACGATTCTGCAACATTCTTGGGAGATTCAGGGGTTGTCACCTCTGGGGAAAAAAAGGCAAAAGCTGACCTTTCCCTGAGCACAGCAAGGTGGTCAGTGGACCAAAAGCAGTCTTCAAGTGCCAGCACTCGGAACTGCACTGAGCTGAAAGGCATTCCTACGTCATGTAGACAGCACAGAGGCCACACACAGTAACACCTGGGCATATAACACATGTGTATTTGACATTAACTGTCACACTCAAATAAAGGAAACCTTTCCATGAATAACTATATATTCACTATATGTGTAGATTAAAATTTAGAACTGGGAGAAATCCTACAGAAAACCAACTCCAGTCACTTTACTTCCCAGAGGTCCAGGGAGGCTCAAGTTCCCTTGAGCCTCTGCAGCGTGAGTGATGGACTGATGGAAGTGACGGTGTACACGAGCCTCTGGCATGGGGCTACAAGACTGAGGGCGATTTGAGTAAAATAAAAACAGTCAATAACCTATACACATATAAACATGAACACACAGAATCTGGGATACATTCCTTCTGATAAAGCTGATACAGATTATCCCAAGATCAAATCTGGACGGAAAGGCAGTGAAAGAAGTGTGGGAGCAGGATACAGGGCACAAAGTGTGGAGCGCAGACTATAGACTATAGAGGACAGAGCAGAGAGCACATGGCACAGAGCGCAGAGTGCGGAATACAGGCCAGACCACAGAGACTGCAGAGCATGGGGTGGGAGCACAGAGCGTGTCCAGGACAGAGCACTGAGTGGGGAGTACAGACGACAGATTATACACAGCACAGGAGGTGGGAGGACAGAGGGTGTGAGCACAAGGTACAGAGCACAGTGCGTACGTCTCGTACGCAGCACAGCACACAAGCTATTGCGTAGGGAGTGTAGAGTTTAGAGCACACAGAACAGCAAGGCGAGGATGGTTCGGATTCAGAGTCTAACTCGGCTGCTACTTGTCTGACCTTGAGCAATTACAGCATACTCAGTCCTCATCTGTTAAATAGGGCTAACAGCAGAAGTGGGCTCGCTGTGAGGATTACATAAGTTAACAACTGCATATAAAACACTTAATAGTGTGTGTAATAAAGGCGGCGCACAATAAACGTTAGCAATTATTAACACTGACTTTTATCTCCACTCGTGAGCGAGTGGACTAAGGCTCAGCGTGACTCAGCCGCTCACGGCCACTGCAGCAGAGCTGACACAGGAGCCTTGGCAGCACCAGTTCCAAAGGCCTGTAATCTTCCAGTGCAAGTGGAGATAAATTTCTTCAGTGTTTCAATAATCAACATTTTTAATAATTAACTACTAAAATATTTAAAAATGAGAAAAAGCAGTTCCAGTATGCCCATAGCCATGGAGCAGTCTGTGAAACTCCCCTGATGAGTCAGAGGTGAAGAGTGTACTGAGCGCTGGAAAGACACGACTACTGCTCATTTCTGGTAGGAAGCGCTGTACCTGACGTTAACATAGAACGTAAGGTTCTGTTTACAGTAGCTCCCCCACTGTATAATATTCACAGGCTTCAAGTGGAAGACGTGGGCTTCCAGGTAACATTCAGAAAGTGTACTCTGGTACAGCCTTCCTTGACATGATTTAAAAGAATTACGTAAACTATTTATTATAAATGATGTATATCTAACTTAATATTCACAATTTCTGCCTGATTTTAGAGCTCAAGAACTAGAACTGTCCTTGTGAACTAGAAGGAAGGGTCTGAGTGAGCAGAGGAAAGGAATGAGGGAGGGAAGGAGAGAGACAGACCTGTCAATCATTTATCATTTTACATGAAGTGTTGAGTAGAAAATCTGACAACACACAAGTTAACTTTGTTATCACCTCTCCAGGTATTCAGCAGCTAGAAAAAATGTTTAATTGGGGGAGGGGTGTGATGAAGGGGACAAAGAGGCAGAAGCAGCAGGTTTTCACACAAACTGTAAAGCTTAAAACCCTTCAGTAGACCTTTCATAGGAGGAGAGCTACAGGCTGCCACACTCACAGGAGTAACTGGAAAGCTCTCAAGAGAGAAGGGAGAAAATGACTGGGCTAACTGTTTAATTCCTACCAAAGGAAAAAAAGACAGTGTTTTAAAGTGATCTTGAAGTATATTCTGAAAACTTGTATTCCACAGCACACACTCTCCATACACGTCCTCCAGGGCCTGTGCTTTGGCAGAAGGCACATGCTTCTCCTGGCCCAGCTCTCCATTCCCCAACTGCAACTCTGCTGGAGGTAGGTGAGCATCCCCGGCGTGGGGCTCACAGTCCAGGCTCCCAGTGCAAAATCCCCAGTGGAGTGAGGAGGGATATCACAACAGTTCTAATGGTTATATAGTTAGTGTTTCAGAAAAAATGTAATTACTACATAAGATACATGATTTTATGGATGCTTTTGCTTAAGAAAATTTTTAAAGTCATTTATGGTAGATTTGGGCTTCCTGGTGGCTGAGATGGTAAAGGATCTGACTATAATATGGGAGATCGGAGTTCGACCCCTGGGTTGGGAAGATCCCTGGAGAAGGGAATGGCAACCCAGGTGTTCTTGCCTGGAGAATTCCATAGACAGAGGAGCCTGGCAAGCGACAGCTCATGGGGTCACACAGTCAGACACGACTGAGAGGCTAACACACACACAGGGTAGATTTTAAAAGTTTGAAAAGTACTGGTGTCACGTAAGTCTGGTAAAGTCGTGACGGTAATGTCTACCCTGAAGGTTTGGGAACACATGTGACAGTGGCTGCCATGAGTTACTTCCAGTCTCAACACAGGGATCTGAGAAATTACCTGACAGCTCTCTCACTGCCTGGAGATCTTGCTGAGGTTCATAACTGTATTTGAGCTCGGTGATTCAAACTACTGAAACAAACCTCATACTAAGGTCAAAGCTTTGAGATAAATGGAATTAATAGAAAAATACATTATGTCACAGTCAGGCTTCAGGGTGATCTCCATATGTAAGACTAAGTACTTGTGATCTTCTCTAACACTGCATATTTGTAAAAGTTCCGGCTAAACATACTTTTAAGAGATATTTTTAAGCAGTTTGATTACATATACTTTTCCATTCAAATGAATAAATCCTTATTACTTCAATGTATCTGATGAGAAAACCAAACCCTTGGATAAGACTTTATACTTCTTCTACATAAGACAATTTCTGATGATATTTATAAGTAAGCAAACTATTCAAGATGCTAGATATAGCTTTAGAAGTCACATGCCTTAGGTTCAGAATTTAAAATGCATAACCACAGTATTAAATATGTAATTACTTCTATTTCACATATATTTCACATAGTGTAATAATTATGTCTATTAGATACACCCAGCTGCTGCCTTATTTAGTTGGAGGAAATATGACTGAAATACAGATAGTATATTTATTTGCATCAGAAAAATAAATTATACTTACCTTAATGTTGATGGATTAAGATTTCCACTAAGGATTAGTATTTCTACAACATACCTAAGCAGGAGGACATAAATCAATTCTGTCTTATTCTAGCATGCATTATCTATGCTACAGATTTAAATATTTACTCCTTAGTTTGCTAATGTCCCAACTTAAAGAAGAAACACATTCCAGCTCTTGTATTTAGGTCAGAAGAATGGATCAATCTTTTCCATTTATAATTTGAAACATTTTAATTGATTAGTCAAAAGGTCATAAAGAAAACATGAAAACACAAGAAACAGAAAATGAAGCATGTGGAAACTACAAAGTACATTAAGGTACAAAATAGATTATGGCAAATGATAAGCACTGATGGCAAATCAAATGGCAAGCGGGGATAGCAAATCAAAATTCCTGTTGCTCCTTCACATCAAGGAGGCTCAGCACCAAGAATTTTCTTCCCAGCACAGGAATCTATCATACTGGTAAGACACAAACACACCTACATACAATTACACGTGTGTGGGCATGCAGATGGTCCAGGGCAGCCACCTGTGCCTACAGTCAGGGTGTTTCGGGAGCCAGCTGCTCCTAGAGTCCACTGGGGAGGACCACCTTTAGTAGGTATTTAGGAGAGACAGATCTCAATATGGACTGCCAACTTTTGGAGATCAGCAGTAACATATAGGTTCTCAAACACTGCTGAGTTTATTTTCCAGATCAATTTTTTTTTTTTTACAAAGTTACTTTGCAAATGGTTGATAAAATAAAAATTGCCAAATGGATAAAGAAAACAGAAAAAGCTCTTCAGTGGTCAGTCAGAAGTAGTAAGTGAAGACTGATGTATCTGAGTTTCTTGAAAGGGAAATATTAGTCATGCCTAAAAGAACCACAAATATACAGAAATTTAAAAAGCAGATGGGAACTAGTTTTGCAGTTGGAAGATGTTCAGCAAATATTCAGACAAAATATGATACTAGAACTCTCAGGTTCTTTAAATATGAATTTGTGTGTAAGATATGCCAACAATTTCATGGCACACACACAAAAATTCTGGAAGGAAATACTAGTGCCAATGTCTTATCTCATTTCACATTGAAAGCAGCAGCTTCCAAACTCCAAAATTCTAATGTGCAAAACATTTTAATTTGGGACTAAGTTGGCTTTGAAAATTCGCTCATAAACAGTTTTAAAACTCAATTTGAAAACGGGGCTGATTTTACAGATCAAATTTTGTCATGAATAGTTACTTGTTTCACCATATTAATAATCTGTCTATTTAAAAGAAGGGCTCCAAACTTGTACTACAAACCCAGGACACATGATTGTATTTTACAACCAAAGTCTCTTAACCAGCACACCACCAGCATGACAAAGCCCCATGCACAGAAGCCCTGAGTATAGAGTTGGCTCTCGTCCCCCAACTGTGGAGCACTCATCTTCAGAAGCAGTTGACACTTCCGAGTTTTGCTGCTTGAATGAATGCTTCAAAGAGTAACAAGTGTCAAAACTCTTTCTTGTTTCTAGGCTCTGAAGGTGGAGTTCTCTTAGACTCTCCACTGCCTTATGAGACTGGGTGTAATGGGCAGCACATTTCACAACCACAAGCATCAAGATTCTTTCACAGGCCCTTCCTTGGGAAGCAAGAGATTTATTACAGTTTTATTTTTTCAAAGAAAGGCTGTTTTGTATGACTGACCACAGCTTAGAAGAAGCCTTTCAATTTTCTTTTCTGACATGTTTGAACAAGCAGATGAATGAAATGTATTTCACAGAGACCACAAAACCCACGTCAGGTGTGAAAGTGCTTTACCTGACAAGTCAAAACTGTAAGACATGCTAAGTGGCCGCACTGCTGAAAAAAGAAAAGACAATAAAAGGAAAGTAATTCAGATGTTAGGCTTTATAGGGAGGAAAAAGGGAGGAGGGTTCAAGACCTGCGGTGGTACACTCCACACTTTAAGGCAGAAGGCACCAAGAAACTATCTGCAATATGGCATCTTAGTTTTAACTGTATCACTAAGACTTGAAACAGAGTAACAATAAAAGAAAAAAACAACTTTTAAAGAACAAGAATGAAAGCATGATAAAGATAAAAATGCTTTAGAATCACAACATAGGACTTTTTACTTAAATATAAAAGAGTTCAAAAGAAAAAACGAGCCACGTTTTAAAACATGCTTTTAGGGAATATACAAAATCTTTAAAATTTAAGAACAAATGTATTCTTAATTTATTTCAGGATGAGAAGTTGGGTCTCTGCATACAGGTCAAACATCTTGTAAAAAATCTCATTCAGGCACTACCAGCATCACAAAGCATCACTAATTCTCCACCGTAGGCCATTAGACCTGGCACTTAAAGCAAGGCCTCAGGAGCCAGAGAGCCTGAGTTTGAACCTCAGCTCTACCATTTACATGCAGTGTGATTCTGGACAAGTTACTTAACCTCTCTGTGCTTCCATTACTTCAAGTGTAAAATGGGCATAATGGTACCTATTTCAAGGGGTTGTTAGAAAAATTAAACGATTTCCATACCAAATAAAAAGGTGCTCAGAGCAGTGCACCTAGTAACAGTTAAACAAATGGAATTTCTTAAGAATAAACTTATTTCCTGTTGGAAGTCATCTGTTTTAAAAATTTTATTATATACATTAAAAAACATCAAATGGGTGAATTTTATGGTAGGTAAATTATATCTCAATAAAGCTGATAAAAGAATTTGGATATTTGTAAGAGTGAGAATTACCCATTTTCACTGCAGTCCCAAGCTCTTACCAGTTCCATCCATCCTACCCCACCTCACCACCATCAGGGAAGACAGGTGCCTGTGTGGTCAGAAGGTGGCAGACCCGAAGGTCCTCATGCTTCTGAGGCAGATGTACAAGTGTAGAGTTCTAATACCCATATTAAACAGAATGAAGTCTCTTCATATGTTTTTGGCAGATGTTGTTAAAAGAACCATTTACAGCCTCAAATCTCAACATAGCATGAGATGTCAGAAAAGTGTTAGGAAAAAGAAAATCATCAGTTGTAAACAAAGACTGATGCACAAGAACAGTAATTTCAGACTTAATAGGAAAAAAATATGGAACTAGCCTGTAAAATAACAGGGACACATAAGAATATAAGACAACTTGGACACATGTCAGTCACCACATCCTCAAGAGACCACGCTGTGGGTCATGTTCTCCCACGTGGGAAGACAGTCCTGCTGCCACGATTCCGCGTGAGGACGTAGTTCCTGTGTGTGCCACATGACACACGAGCCCTGTCACGGCGCACGCTGCTGCTGCTGAAATCACAGGGAGCGTTTCTTCTTTAAACATTTGCCCAATTTCTATAGTGGGTTTCTATTTGCAACTACAAGGAGAGGAAAGGTTATAAAAATATTTAGGGAAACTTCTTCAGGATGGGCTCAGATGGTAAAGAATCTACCTGCCACGCAGGAGCCTCAGGTTCGATCCCTGGGTCAGGAAGATCCCCTGGAGAAGGAAACAGCAACTCACTCCAGTATTCCTGCCTGGAGAATCCCATGGACAGAGGAGCCTGGTGGGCTAAAGTCCATGGGGTCACAAAAAGTTGCACACGACTGAGTGATTAACACTTTAACTTATTTTCTTCAAGATAATCCTGTCAACTTTATCCAAACTTCTCAAAGTGCAATTGTGTAGTAAGAACCAGTGTAGATCAGCAGAACGAGAAAAGCCCAATCTCTTATTTTCTAGTTAAGGTTCAAGATCAATTTTAAAAATAAGACTCTCATAGAACAATCACTTTCAACAACAGCTCAATTCTGGTTGTTGTGACACACTAATTCATAAGGATAAAATAAAAGAGTAAGACAAACTAAACACAAAATTGGTATTTAATTATTCTAAAGCAGGTTTCCTGTTAGCTAGCATCTAATTTGTTTAAATGAAACAGAAGAATATGTATACAATGAGGCCATGTAACACCACATGCAGTGTCCCTTTGCTGACCACAAGGACCGCTGGCCTCCCGCACTTGGCCCCTGGCCGCACCGCACACCTGACTGGCTGCTGTCAGGGCTCACAGGCACCCCTGCTGTGGCTGTTCTCTCTGGTCAGTGCCTGTGGGCAGGACTCCTACCTGCTCGCCCCTCACCCCGGGTTCAGAGCACTTGTGTGAGGACCATCCCATCACTTGGCACTTTATGTCCTGCTCCTCTCTGTCCTACAGGTGCTTCCACTGGAATTTACACTTGTAAAGCATGAAGCTTACTTTTCTCAGGGTAACATGTGGGTTTTACCTTCTAGTTCTGTTGAAATATTTCCTATTACCCTATTATTCCATCTCAAGACACAGTAATTCTTTTAAAATCTTGTCTTAAGCTGACATTCTATAATACCATCTCCTTATTTTTCCATAGTGGTTCTTGCTCCTTTAGACTGTGCATCCTTTAGAAATCTGGGGAAAACTATGGACCACCCCCAATACGTACAAATGCGTTACACTGCAAGGATGCACAGACCTTCCTCAGGCTCATTCAAGGACTCCCAGGATAAGAACTTTCCACTTACATCCTGTACAGTTTTGGCTCATTACTATATACATGCTCATATGGATTTGTTTTAATCATTTTAAAGGGAAACACTTGCTGGCATAAAATCAACAGGGATACGTGCACCTCGCCTCTCCTCACTCTTCAGCTCTGGCTAGGGAAGCTATCCTATTGCTTTAGCACCCCGGGAAGCACTTTCCATTGCTGTTACCTACAGTGCAGATGGGGACACAGCAGCCAGCAAGACGGAAGTGGGCCCTGTGGCCACAGCCCAGCAGCAGACACAGTGACCGAGAGTCACAGGAGATGGGGGAGCCATCAGAGCTGGTGCAACTGAGCAGACAGAGGAGCGGAGGACCCTGAAGATCAGAAGCAGTCAGATCAAACGCTTGGCTGCTGGACCCAGTCACAGGGGACACTGCATTCTTGGCCCTGGGCTTTGAGATGGGAGCAGTGGCAGACAGTTTTGGGGGAAAGCAGGTAAGGTCACCTGTGGTGGGGCCTGTCCTGCAAGTGGGGGGAGGAGATCCTGCCCAGTGACGGCTGCCTGCACATGTGGGTCTGAACTTTCAGAGAAGCCTGTGCGCACGGTGGGAGCCGAGAAAGTTAGAAACACACCAAGGGGAGTGTGTGGCTGCTCAAGAAGGAGGAGCTGTGGTAGCAACCTGAGGCCCAGGTGGGCGTGGGAGAGGGAAGAGATGGGAAGAGAAACCAGGAGACAGGGTCTCGGCACCAGCTCCGTTCCCAGGCAGGTGCTACCAGACACTATCTCCCTGAATATCTTGGGCATCTTTCATTTTACAACTGGAGGAGAGCTGTTTACGTGTCATAATATGATCTTGCTCTAAATGGAAATCAGTGTGTGCTTATAAAAAACATAAAATAACTATAAAGGAAGTTTAGTAATAAGTGCTATCAGTAGAGTGCCTCATCACATAACACATAACTTTAAATGATAATTAAGACAATAGAAACTTGATGTATCTATTATTCCTATTTCTAAAATGTAACTTATCCATGTGTGTACTACTGTTTATAAAGTATCCTATTTGATTCATTCTTACATAGAAGTCACATGAACGTGTGGAGGAATCTGTATCCTCTTCCTGCCAACATGAACGTGTGGAGGAATCTGTATCCTCTTCCTGCCAACCAAGGAATGGAAGCTCAGAGAGGTGAAGGGCTGTCCTAAAACCATACCCTGGGATCTGCAGAGCTCCGCCCACACCATGGTGTGGTGACCTTACACTTGGCATCTCAGGGAGGAACTTCCTACTTCATGTATTTCGAGATGAACATCACTTGTGAGGGTGTGTGTGTGGGGGGAGGAAAAGGAGAGACAGGGAGGGAGAGGAGTGAGGCGAGTGTGCTTCTAGGGCGGGCAACTCTCCCGCCTGGGACTCACCAAGCCTGCTGCGTCTGGTCTCCTCGGGGGACACAGGCCGCAGCTTCCTCTCAGCCTTGATCTCTTCCAGGATCCTTTCGTGGAGGCTCCGGGGCCGCGGTGGAGTAGGTTTCAGTTTTCTGGCTGAGGCCTTAGGAAAAAAGTAATAGCTAGAGCTGGAGTAGTTATCCTTAAATAATTCTTACTGAAGTCCATTCATATAGCACAGTATTATGAAGCTGTATTTTACTGACTGCCATACTGCTTGATAAGAGTTTTCAAGCCATAGGAAGATGACTGGATGGCACAGTGGTTCAAGCACATGAACTCAAGCCACGCTAATGAGTCAGCTGTGCTCCAGCTACTGTCATGGCATGCTGCAGCCCACGGGTCGCAAAGAGTTGGACACGACTAAGCAACTGCAGTGACCTGTTGTCATGCTCCCTACACGCTACCATGACAGGCAAGCTGCAGAAATGCAAGCAGTATGTCATCTCTATTACTGTTTTTGAAAGTAACATTTTTGAGTTAAGTCATAACAACCTTCTTAGATCATTCACTTCAGTCTGCAGCTGAGGAAATAAAGGCTCGGGAAGGCTGATGAACTTGCTCAAAAAGATGAATTTGCTAAAAAACATACGCTCACCACACTGTGCGTGGGTGTGCAGAGCTGGGCTCTGATTCCACGCTCTCTCTGCTCTACACAACCTGCCCTCCTAAGATCATTTCCTACGTGGCCTCTTTCCCTTATTAGAGAAAGATTTATAAGAGGAATGATTAACTGTGTTTTAGATATATACAAACTAATAAGGAAATACCCTTTCTTTCTAGTTACTGAAGTTACTGAATGTACAAGGGGTTTGAGAGGCCCTGGTGAGTGCTGGCTGTGGAGCCAGGGGAAGTGTAGAGCAGAGGAAACACAAACCAACACTGAGATCTGATCAGAACACCCTGATCCATGGTCTCCAGAAAGAACCCCACAAACAGAGGACCATGGCTACTGTGAAAGAAGAGGCAGCAATGTGAATTTCCTGTAACCAAGGTGAGGTGTCTGCACCCTTAAGTACAGGGCGGCAGCGCACACGCAAGCTACTGGCATTGTGTTCACAGTCGGGCTTCACAATCAGGAGAGAAAAGCGTCTCCTCCAGGAGCTGTGTTCTATGGCCACAGGCTGTGGGCGGAACATGTTGCCACATGTTTGCCAGCCATGGGGAGGTGTCAGACCACGTACTGGATTTAAAGGAGGCCTTGATCGGATGAAGTCCAGGATGATTTCATGAGCACTTTTTTTTAACCGAGGGGGAATATCACCATTCACCTGAAAAGAGACAGAAAGCAGAAGATCCATGTGACGACAGGACAGCCTGTACAAGCTTCTGGGTACACACATCCACATACCTCATGTGACGACATGATTGTCTGTACAAGCTTCTGGGCACACACATCCACACATATCACTTCAAAGCCACTGCAGTGGAATCTGGCTCCACCAAGGACAAACTTCAAATCAATAAAATGGAGAGCAAATGGCTGAGTGATTCAGAGCAAAAACAACTGTAGGACTGAAGAAATGCCAAGCACACTGCAGTTCTACTATTCTGGGAAATTATATGTAAGATACATGCTTCCAACAAAAACTTTCTAAAATTATGACTATGAATGGAATAAGTAATACTATGCTTAATTATTATATAATTTAGAAAGTCTTTCACCTCTTGTTTTCATCCTTGTACAAAGTTTGGGAATACAAATCAAGGGGAAGGGCTGGGGACAGTTCATGTTCTGTAGACAGAATTCAGGTTCAGGTCAAGGAGGGTGTCTGCTATATCAATAGAACTGGTAAGAAGCAGAGTTTGGCAGAGTCCTGGTCTGTCTGACTCCTCCTTTAACGTACTCTCTTTTTAAAGCAACATGTCACAAAGATTTTTTAAGAAATTTAAGGAAACTCCAGAAACCCACAAAATCACACCTTAGTAAACTCACACTCTGACCCCCCAGGAGGCACAGTTCTGACCGTCAGTCATACTTATTTCCCAGTCTCACATGAAAACAAAGACAGACCTAATAGGCATTTTCTGTTGTACTTCTCACAAAGCACAACATGCTTTATGCTTCTCATAAATGATGAAAAACAAATGTTAACGAATTATACATCTTGAAAACTGATGAACACTTTAAACTTCTCAAGATCAGAAAATGAGCATGCTGCTTTGATTAATGAATAGCCTGGAAAGCCTCTGTACTTCCCCCTCTACTTTGGGGACCCACTCTTTTATCTTATCATATTCTAATAATTGTATAATACATCAATTTTATTGGAGGGAAAAAGGCTAATTCAGTTATTCCTTTATCACCTATGTCTGATTGTTTTTTTGGACAGGTTAGGAAGGTTTCTTTAACCTTCACATTTTGCTATTGGAAATGTCATGTAAAATTTTAGAATTATCATAAAATTTGGTTAAACTTTTTAGAAGTATTTTCTTATCTGAACTGTAAGATTTCAGGGCATGAACAATTTTCTTATGTGTCTCCCAATCTTAAATATATTTTAATTGCTCATGGTCATTAGTCAACTGTTGATTAATTTTTTATTGCTGCTGAATACTCTTGCATTATTTTCTGTTAATGTCACTATATTTGTGTCAGCTGAGAAATACCCTGATTCTGGAAAAGATTGAAGGCAGGTGGAGAAGGGGAAGACAGGGGATGAGATGGTTGGTTGGATGGCATCACCGACTCAATGGACATGAGTTTGAGTAAACTCGGGGAGTTGGTGACAGACAGGGAGGCCTGGAGTGCTGCAGTCCATGGGGCTGGAAAGAGTCGGACACGACTGAATGACTAAAATGGAGTGAGAAATAAAGTTGACTAAAAAAAAAAAAGAACCTGAACTGCTGTTCCAGACCCAGTACCCCCCTTGCAAATGTGGCCACTCAGGTGTATGACAAGCCTCCTGACATCCAGGGCCCTCTTCCCTGTGCCCACCCCACCAGCCCCAGTGAGGACTGGATGCCCCATGTGAGAGTCAGAAGTGAAAGCCACCTGAACCGAGCCAACTTGGGACTGCTAGTCCCTGGTGTAAGGAGGCCTATACCAGTGGAGCTGAAGGCCTGCCACAGCACTCTTTACCCATGGACCTCAGGTTACACGATTTTTCTTTTTAAACCTTGTATGAACAACTTAATCAGAATCTTCTATTCTACTCCTGAATAGGATAATACATGTCTTTTCAGCTATTTTTCACTTGCTTTTATTTTAATGTCCTTTCCATCACAACAGGGTTGAGGAAGACAATGCCTGAAATAAGGCCAAGGTTGTAAGTTCCATTCCCCAAACAAGCACAGTAATGTCAGTGTCTTCACGAGTCAGAAGCTGGATCCTGGATCCCAGTTATCCAGCGTGTGTCACTGCTCATGAGAGAAACGGCAGGCCAGTGCAAACGTGAGTCAGTCTATTCCATATAGGCAGGAGGGAAAGTGTGCAAATTCCACTCCACTACTGGGTCAGTGAGATTACTTTTTTAATATAGACACAGAACACATTCTGAAACAAGTTATCTGAGCTGTAAGGATAATTTCTAGAATGAACACAAACTGTAGACCTGTAAGTAAATAAGACAGTTACATAACTTAATCTTACTTTTGAGTCACAATGCCTTAAAAAAAAATAAAACTTCTAAAGGAAAGATGTTAAGTTTCTACATTGTTATTTTTAAAGGTGACTTATTTGAAGTTATTTGTTACAATTATTTTACCAAAACACTTTGAAAGAAGTCAACTGAAATGTTTTGTACTTCTAGAATTTAATATTCTGAACATGATCCAATATGGCTAAGTCATTCAATTCCCACCATCAGCTTCACAAATATACAGAAAAAGGTGGATTACTATGGTGTAGTTATGCATTTTAAACCTGAAGATTAAATTAAGACCATCTTAAAATATTGCCTCAGATACAGACTATGTGAAAATCCTTTCTATTTGTGTATGTTTACTTTTTACAACAATATTTGTTTTTAAAAAAATTAGAAAGTGGCATTACATTGATAACAGTAAAATTTTTTTAAAATGTATCTAGTTTTTGACTGATTAAATACGAGTAGTTGAATTTCCACTCTCACTTAGGAGGTACAAATATATATAATAAGGAATTAATTAGAAGCTTAGCCTGTTAGACTAAACATGAAAATTTATCCCACACAAAACCGATCACCATTAGAACTGCCATCTGCCCAGTTCCCTGCAGAGGGGCTCACTATAAACTTAAGTCAAGTGAACTGCATGGAATTAGCCATAGAGAGAACGACAGAAAAGGAAAAAAACAATGCGTACCACAGAGCAGTAACGTTTTTCCTTACTTACTACTCACAACCTCCAAACTGTACAAACATTCACATAAGAGGAGTCCCACAGGGACTGAAAATATAAGAAAAGATAAAGAAAATGTGAAGAACTAATGGCTGAAAACTTGCAAAATTTGATAATAATATAAATCTACTCATCCAAGAAAAATGAAGTGAAAGTGTTAGCTGCTCAGTCATGTCTGATTCTATGCAACCCCATGGACTGTAGCCCACCAGGCTCTGCTGTCCATGGAAACGTTTGCCAGGCAAGAATATCGGAATGGGTTGCTATTCTCTTCTCCAGGGGATCTTCCTGACCCAGGGATCAGACCTGTCTTCTGCATCGCAGGCAGATTCTTTACCATCTGAGTCACATCTATAAATTCCAAGCAAAAGACTCAAAGAAAGAAAAAAAAAAAAAGACTCAAAGAGAGCCATAACAGAACACATTATATTCAAATTGTTGACAGACGAAAATATTGAAAGCAGCAAAAAATGACTATCACATAGAAGGAATCCTCAAAAGATTCACAGGTGATTTCTCATCAGAAAACAGAGGTCAAAGGCAGTGGGATAATGTTTAAAGATAAACAAAAACAATTTCAGCCAAGAATACTATACCCAGCAAAACTCTACTTCAAAATGAAGAAGAAATTAAGACATCCTCAGGCAAACAAGCACTAAGAGAGTTCACCACTAGTAACCCTGACCTACAAGAAATGCTAAAGGAAGTCACTTAGGCTTAGAGAAAAGGACAGTAGACCGTAACATGAAGCCACAAGAGAATACTGTGATAATTGTACAAAACATATAGAACAATCTAGATGAGACAGGCAAGTTCGTATAAAGATACAAACTACCAAGACTAAGAAGGAACGAAGGGAAGGAAGGAGGGGAGAGGAAGAAAGGAAGGACATGAACCTAACCAGACCTATAACAGGGAGAGAGATTAAATCCACAATCAAAAATCTCCCAATAATGATAAGCCCAGGACCTGAAGACTTCATTTGTGGATTCTACTCAAATATTTAAAGAATTAGTCCCACCCTTCACAAACTGTTTCAAAAATTAGAAAAAGAGGCATCACTCCCCATTTTACTGTGAGGCCAGTCTTACCCCAATATGAAGGCAGACAAAGACCTCACAAGAAAATAGGAGATAAAATTCCTTCTGAACATGGGCACAAAAATCCTCAAGAAAGTATCAGGAAGTACTCTAGCAGCAAGTTAAAAGGATTATACATCATGACCAAGTGGGATTTATCCCATAAACACAAGGGTGGTTTAACATATGAAAAATCACTCAATGTAATATGTCACATTAACAGAATGAAACAAAAGAACCCACATGATTTTCTTTATTGATGCAGAAAAAGGATTTGTCAAAATCCAACACACTTTTATGATAAAAACACACAACAAACTTGGACTGGAAAGAAACTTCCTCAGCATGATAAGAGTCATTTGCGAAAAGATTGAATGCATTCCCCCTAAAATCAGGAGTCCAACAATACGGATGCATGCTTTTGCCACACCCATTCAACAAAGAAATGAAGGTTCTAACCAGGGTGACCATCAGGCATCCAGATTGGAAACAAAGAAATAAATGGATCCCGTTTCACAGATAACATGAACATATATATCAAATAAAATACCCTAAATAACTCAAGAAAACTATTTTAGCTAATAAGCTCAGCAAAAAGAGCAAAAAAATTGTTTTCACCATGTCCCTGTATTTGTAAGAGAGACAGTAAATTTGAAAATACATGGCAACACGAGCCATGGACACACGTAGGTAAGGACTCTTCCAATGAGTGGGTGGTTTGAGCAGAGACCTGAGAAGTGAAGAGAAGTGAGTTACACAGACGTGTAAGAGGCCTCCAGCAAGAGAGAACAGCAAGGGCTCAGCTGCAGGTCACAAGAGGGACCTTTTAGGTGGCGGCAGAGACCAGGGGAGTAAAGAGGAGACCAGCCAGGAAGGTGGCAGAAGGTGAGGGCTGAGAGGCAACCCACACCAGACTCTGAGGCCAAGATCAAAATGGCTGCTTATTATGAGTGTGATGGAAAGAAGTGGAAGGTTTTACGCAGGGTGATGACATGGTCACATTTTCAATTTAACAGGTTTACTCAAGCTGTTTTGGGGGCAAGAGTAAGAACGGACCACCTGGAGGCCACAATAATAGTCTAAATGAGAGGTGATCATGGGCTCTGAAATGGAGGTGGTGAGATTCGGGACATAATGCAGAGGTAGAGCTAGCAGGGTTCCGAGTCTAAGAGCTTAACTCAGGATTTCACTGGAGCTTTTGAAAAAGACTTATATGCAAGGTTACACAAAACAGCCTGCTTATAACTAGACAACTTGATTAGCTTGATAAACTCTGGTGCAGCTACAGCTGGGAAAGATGCAGTCACTTAGAAATGATGATGTTGAATAATGACACGGGAAAACACATGTTATGTGAAAACACTCACATGTTATGTGAAAACAACTGGTCACAGGACAAAGTTTTCAATATTAATCCATTTTGCCCAAATAAAGTGGACAGAAAAAAGACTGAAGGTTATGCACCAGCCTGTTAGCAAACTTTCTGTCTCAACTGTGAAATTACACATTTGTAACTTTTCTTCTTGGGCTTATTATATTTACCAACTTTTCTATAAAGACCATGCATTAATTTTATGAGAAGCAATAATTTTTAAAACATAATAGTGAAAAGATTTTTAACAAGATTACCAAAAACCAACCATCTGAATCCATGAATAGTTTCCTGTTACTTACCATCACTTTTCGCAAAGTGTATCTTCTGGATCGAATGTCATCCATTAGCATCTCGTATGGGGTGAGCTGATATTCAATGGGCAGTGGGTTGTACTGCCGCTCCTGGACCTTCTTGAGCTTTACTCCATTCCGCAAATCCCTCATCACCTGCACCCAGAACCGAGCCTGAAGGAGCCAAGTGTGGAAAAACATTCGTGAGTAAATTTACTAATTTACTCTAAATGGTTATAGTCATACAGAAGAAATTAAGAGCTTGGATTACAAAACACCAAGTAAACCAAACAAAAACTATTTTAAAAATTAGATTTTAGGGACCAAAAAGCTGGTGGAAAGCCAGTCGAGAATCCACCAGCTCTAACTGTGGAGACACCTGGATAAAACCCTAACTCACCCCTGTGCCACCTGCATCCAGCCTTAGTGCCCCTCGCGTCCCATCCGTCATGTGGCTCTGTGTACTGCAAAGGCGCCAGCTTCTCACACTGGACTCTGGGTATGGCTCTACATCTGGCTTGGCCACTGGAATATTAGTGGACACGACACAACCAAATGCTTCAACAGCAAACGCACAAGGGCATGTCACTCTGTTCCTGTCACTCCCTGGAAACACCTAGCGTGGGCTGGCACAAGGCCCTCTGGCAGGATTATCTGGGAGAGAGATGAAGCAGAGTGGAGCCACCACTCTGGTCTCCAGATGCATGAGCTGAGTAAACACTACTGCTTCAGACCGAGGTACAGTGTCACGTTCAGTTACACAGCGGTACTGTAACCACAGCTAACTGGGACAACCACCAACTGCCCCTGGACATCCAAGCAACTTGTTTCCAATTTCTGAACCCTGGCTTCCTCATCAATAAAAAAAGTGATACTTTATAACTTGTTGAGAGCGGAGGTATAGTGTTCTACACAGAGAAAATGCTAAAAAATGACAATTTTTGTTTTGTTATGTCTTTTTACAAATTATTTAATATCAAATTCCTTATCTATAAGTAACACCAAGTTGCTTTACTGACCTTCAAGAAAATGAGATATATGTGAAGTATTTATAATAAAACATATTAAATGTTATTATTATACTTTAACCCTTTTGTTATCCTGCCTGTAAGCTGTCAGTCTCAACTTCAGTAAAGAGAAAATTAATATATTTAACTGAAATATTAAACAATGTTAAAAATTAACAAGTGGCTCAAATAGCTACATAAATATATGTCAAACTTATCAAACTGTACTTTTAAAATATATGCAGCTTACTGTTATGTACACTACACCTTAATAAAGCTGTTGGAAAATGACAAAATCTATCAAGGGCAAAAGCAACTTGTTCATAACCTCTTAAACTGAGTTTTCTGATTTCCTCACTTCATGTGTCACTATTTATCCAGTACCTTTAACATGAAAAGTCAGAACTCTACCATGTGCCTTCCCACTAACAGCTGAACGCAGCTCAGTCCAGCTTCATACATTCACTGTCCTGTCCCGACTCCGAGTCCTACAGGAAGGCAGCAATCCTCGAGGTCAGCAGGCCTAGGATCTAGCACCATGCTGAAGAAACAGCAGACATTTGGCAGGGTCACATGAATACAGTCATCTGTCCTGGAAATCTGTCTTCTCTCTCACAGGGGCAGAAACGCTCCATGACCCATCTGCATTCCCAGGCCCCAAACCAGTTTGACTATTTACTGGATAATGAACAGGCCTCACTATAACCTCTGCTGCTGCTGCTAAGTCACGTGAGTCGTGTCCAACTCTGTGTGACCCCATAGACGGCAGCCTGCCAGGCTCCCGTCCCTGGGATTCTCCAGGCAAGAATACTGGAGTGGGTTGCCATTTCCTTCTCCAGTGCATGAAAGTGAAAAGTGAAAGTGAAGTCGCTCAGTCATGTCCGACTCTTCTTGACTCCATGGACTGTAGCCTACCAGGCTCCTCCGTCCATGGGATCCTCCAGGCAAGAGTACTGGAGTGGGGTGCCATTGCCTTCTCCCACTAGAGCCTCACTAAATCCTTAAACAGAGCTTCAACTCTGACTTACACATAAGATACTAAGGTACCCATACACTTAGAAAGGTCAATAGTGTAAAACACTGAAATTCTCAGAGACCCTGGGGGGTTTCTAATAAAATCAGACAGTTTTCAAATTGGTATAGTATCAATTCATATGGTAGTCCTTAAGATAAACTAGCATTTTAATAACATGATATGATTTCTCCAACACTAAACAGCACAGAGAGAATACCCAGCCATCTTACCCAGTCAGCATTTTTCAGCTCTTCCAGGTCTGTGTTCGATTCATCACTCTTCTCCATTTCTTGAATCTTCTTTAGATTCTACCAATTAAAATTCAAATAAAACATTTATGCATCAAATTTCATTGAACTACCTTCTCAAATTAAAATTCTGAATGAAAGTGAAAGTCGTGTCTGATTCTTTACAACCCCATGGATAGTCCATGGAATTCTCCAGGCCAAAATACTGAAGTGGGTAGCCATTCCCTTCTCCAGGGGATTTTGCCAATCCAGGATCAAACCCAGGTCTCCCACATTGCAGGCAGATTCTTTACCAGCTGAGCCACCAGGGAAGCTCTAGATATTTTCAGAAGACAAGAGTGCCTGAAGAGCTATGGGTGGAGGTTTGCAACACTGTATAGGAGGCGGTGATCAAAACCATCCCTAAGAAAAAGAAATGCAAAAAGGCAAGATGGCTGTCTGAGGAGGCCTTACAAATAGCTGAGAAAAGAAGAGAAGCTAAAGGCAAAGGAGAAAAGGAAAGATACACCCACTTGAATGTAGAGTTCCAAAGAATAGCAAGGAGAGATAAGAAAGCCTTTTTCAGTGATCAATCCAAAGAAATAGAGGAGAACAACAGAATGGGAAGACTAGCGATCTCTTCAAGAAAATTAGAGATACCAAGGGAACATCTCATGCAGATGGGCAAAATAAAAGAGAGAAACAATATGGACCTAACAGAAGCAGAAGATATTAAGAGGTGGCAAGAATACACAGAACTATACAAAAAAGATCTCCATAACCCAGATAACCATGATGGTGTGACCACTCACCTAGAGCCAGACATCCTGGAATCCAAAGTCAAGTGGGCCTTGGGAAGCATCATTACAGACAAAGCTAGTGGCGGTGATGGAATTTCAGCTGAACTATTTCAAATCCTAAAAGATGATGCTGTTAAAGTGCTATACTCAATATGCCAGCAAATTTGGAAAATTCAGTGGTGGCCACAGGACTGGAAAAGGTCAGTTTTCATTTCAATCCCAAAGAAAAACAATGCCAAAGAATATTCAAAGTACCACACAACTGCACTCATTTCACATAGTAGCAAGGTAACGTTCAAAATCCTCCAAGCTAAGCTTCAACAGTATGTGAACTGAGAAATTCCAGGCATACAAGCTGGATTTAGAAAAGGCAAAAGAACCAAAGATCAAATTGCCAACATCTATTGGATCACAGAAAATTCAAGAGAATTCCAGAAAAACACCTACTTCTGTTGCACTGACTACACTAAAGCCTTTGACTCTGTGAACCACAACAAAGTGTGGAAAATTCTTAAAGAGATGGGAATACCAGACCATCTTACCTGCCTCATGAGAAACCTATAGGCAGGCCAAGAAGCAATAGTTAGAACCGGACATGGAACGATGGACTGGTTCCAAATTGGGAAAGAAGTAGGTCAAGGCTATATATTGTCACCCTGCTTATTTAACTTCTATGCAGAGTATATCATGTGAAATTGCTGGGCCAGATGAAGCACAAGCTGGAATCAAGATTGCAGGGAGATATATCAATAACCTCAGATATGAAGATGATACCACCCTTATGGCAGAAAGCAAAGAGGAACTGAAGAGCCTCTTGATGAAAGTGAAAGAGAAGAGTGAAAAGGCTGGCTTAAAACACATTTAAAAAACGAAGATCCTGGTATCCGATCCCATCAAGTCATGGCAAATAGATGGGGAAGCAATAGAAACAGTGACAGACTTTATTTTCCTGGGCTCCAAAATCACTGCAGATGGTACTGCAGCCATGAAATTAAAAGACGCTTGTTCCTTGGAAGAAAAGCTATGACAACCTAGACAGCATATTAAAAAGCAGAGACATACTTTGCCGACAAAGGTCCAGATAATCAAAGCTATGGTTTTTCCAGGAGTCATGTATGGATGTGAGAGTTGGACCATAAAGAAGGTTGAGCGCCAAAGAATTGATGCTTTTAAACTGTGGTTGTTGGAGACAACTCCTCAGAGTTCCTTGGACTGCAAGGAGATCAAATCAGCCAATCCTAAAGGAAATAAACCCTGAATATTCATTGGAAGGACTGATGCTGAAGCTGAAATTCCAATACTTTGGCCACCTGATGGGAAGAGCCACCTCATTGGAAAAGACCCTGATGCTGGGAAAGATTGAAGGCAGGAGGAGAAGGGGATGACAGAGAATGAGATGGTTGGATGGCATCACCAGCTCAGTGGGCATGAGTTTGAGCAAGCTCCAGGAGATGGTGAAGAACAGGGAAGCCTGGCGTACTGCAGTCCATGGGGTCACAAAGACTCGGACATGAGTGAGCACCTGAACCACCACCACCACCACCTTCAGATAAAACATTCTGAAGCAAATAGTACAGAATCTACTCCTGTGTGAATTTCAGCCAATTTCAATAACAGATGGTGACTATTAAGCCTGTGCTCTAGAGCCTGGGAGCCACAACCACTGAGCCCACGTGCTGCAAATACTGAGCCTGTGTGCCTAGAGCCTGTGCTCCACAAGAAAATCCACAGCAATGAGAAGCTCTCACACTACTACTAGAGTAGCCCCCACTCACTGCAACCAGAGAAAAGCCTGTGCAGCAATGGAGACCCAGCATAGTCATAAATAAATAAATAAAATTATTAAAAAAAAAAATAAAATAGACGGTGGACCACAGAGGGACAGACTAGGAGTTTATTCTGGTTTCCTTTTCAGCCTTGTGGTTGAACCTCAAGTCACAACATTAATTCACATCTCAGCTGTATTGACATCTGCATCTCCATCAACTCAACACTGTATCCATCATTAATCACACAGATTTAACTTCCTCTCTGTTTTTTTTTTTTTTCTTCTTCTTAACTAAAGTCCTGTTTTTATCTCCACTGCAAATCCTTTAATCCAAACACCATCTGACTCTGCCTGGACGTCTGGCCGCTGCCCTGCCCCCAGCCTTGTCTCCCTCACTGTCTCCTCCTCCAGAAGTAGGCTCAAAAGAATCTTTAGTGTTCCAGGGAAGCCCTCCCCTCCTTCCTGGTTAAGCCACGTCTTCCTATCATACCAGCTGCAGCACCATAAACCTCTCCTCTATAGCCGTCACCAACTGTATAATTTTACATTTGTTCGTATTTTCCCTCTAGACTTCATGAGGCAGAATTCTACTCTCAGAAGCTAATACAAATATTGGCATTTTTGAAGCTCAATATCTATCTATTAATTTAATGGAGGAATTTCAATATATAAAATGCCCTTTATTTATTTCTGATGGAATCTGTATATATTGTGAAATGGCTACCACAATAAGGTTAGCGACCACTTCTGCCACCTTATACAATTACCTTTTGTTGTTGCTGTTGTAAGAACATTTACTTTCTTAGCAGTTTTCAAGTATGTAATATAGCATCATGAACTGCACATGCCCAGAACTTAAAAATGAAAGTTTGTACCCTTTCAGTTTGCATCAATTCAATGTTCGTAATTTTAAGAAAACACTGATAGGCAAAACATACACAACCATACACAACCATCCCTCAGTACTCTTGGGGCTTGGTTCCAGGACTGCTGGTGGACTCTGAAATCTGCAGGTGTTCAAGTACCTCGTTGGCTCCCTGCATCTGCAGTTCTGCATCCGTGGATGCATCGTGTAAGGACTGTGTATAAGCGGATCCTCACAGCTCAAACCTGCATTGCTCAAGGCTCAGCTACACTCACATGTTAGTCACAAATCTGTACTGCACCACTTCAACTCACAGTAACTCAACCCTAATATACTTGCTAAGCCTATTTGTCTGACTGTGTTTGGACTGGGTTTAAAGGCATTGTATGAAATCTGGTTTACTCTATATGAAAATACTGAATGAATACTTACTATGAAACATTTCTAAACCATTTATTTTTAGGTTCTCAGCATCTGGGGCTGACCACCTGCACAGAGAGTATATAACACCCCTGGAAGCTGGGCTTAGCCAAGGGAGCTGCCCTTCAAGGAGTCCAACCCTCTGGGCAGCCCCTCCAGTCACTGGTCCCTGCAGAAGTACATAGGTCAGGCCCCCCACCCCCAGCTCCTGAGCTCCCCATGGGATCAGCCAAGACCTGCTGTCCTGCATCAGAGTTAACTTTTCCCTTACCCCTTGCAGTTGTTCCCCAAGTAACCCCAATAAACCTTATGAATTCAAATTTCAACTCAGTCTACTTCCTCGAGGGATTCTGTCCACAGATGGAACATTCTACAGATATTGTAATGTGCATATATCAGAAACAAAACTGACATGAATTTGAAAGGTAAAAGTCACTATTTAAAGATATTCTGACTCACATCAAGTGCTGGAGACGCTGAATGGGCACTGCTGTTGTTTTAGAAGTCCCGTTCTGCCCCCTGGCAACAGTCCCTCTTCCCGGGGATACATGACGGGGCTCAGGCCCAGGCCCAGGCCCAGGCCCAGAACCTCATCGCCATCACAGGTGGGGACAGCACCCTGACAGGCAGCCCAGGCCATCTCCCCCTGCAATGGCTGGCTCCCAAATAGGTACCTGACCCCTGTCTTCCTCCCAGACTTTCTCACCTCAGTTCACAGAAAAGACTTCCTGCTGGAGTTACTGAGCTGATAGAGTGAGAGGTGTGCAGACTGTCAACTGGCTGGCCTTTTTAGGAAGAGCCTATGCTGGGGGCGTCCAGACAGAGGACGCCATCCCGATTACTGGGTGTGAGGTACTGGATCCAGCCCTGCCCTTAGACTCCTCCCACTCCCGTCAAGCTAATCTGAGTGAATTTCTGTCACTTTCAACAGAAAGAATTATGATCTAACATGTCCCCTTAATCCAGAAACATGAATTCATGCTTCTGTGTTTTAGGAGTGGTCTAGTGGAACAGTACAAACAGCACAGGCCCTCCTTCCATCCAACCGTAGTCGTTACTGCTCTGACACGTCCCTGAGGAGTGTAGCCAGGACAGCCTCTCTGTCAAGACTCCACACATTGCTATCTTTACCTGTGCTGTGACAAAACCCTCAGCTCCCTGATGCTAAGAACCACCATCTGCTCTCTGTGATAGTGATGATAACTTAAATGAATGGCCTGAGAATTTC